GCAGAGGCGAGCACGGCTCCTTCTCCGCACTGCACCGCCTCCAACCGCCGAGTCACCGACTTTGTTTTGCCTCGGAGCCGGCTGAGTTGTGACTGATCGTTTATGCCGCGCCTGAAATACTTGGCTACCAGGAACGGCCAGGGATCAGTTTCAGCCGTTCATGTCACCTCGGTAGGCCTCTTTCCCATAATCGGCGCGTCGCTGAACTTCCGACAGCAGTTGTGACGTCATTCGGGAGTCAGTTATTGTCATACGGTGAGAAGAATCGGCATGTTCTTTTTATGCGAGATGTAAATAAGAAGCGAGCTGGATAGAACGTTTCTATGCGGTTTTATCGTCGCCAAACAGAATTAAGGAGAAGTGGATAAGTTCACACTTAAGTGGGACAGCTCTTGAACCTCGATGACGACCCACTTGATATCAAACGCCAGGCCAAGTGTCTACAATTTACTCCTCGTTCACCAACGGCTGTTTCAGAAAAAGAATGTAAACCTTATTGGGCACGGACTTACTACCTCCTGATGGCTTTATCGTTCACCTGGGGATGGCTTAGCTGGTTATGTAACCAATCCTTACGTAGTACGACGTTTTGATAGGCGATTTAAAGGCTTTCACAATAAACATTGTTCACTGTTCAGACTATTGTGAAGTAAAAGAACTCATGATACATTATGAGATAATAGTTTGCGTACTTCCTTTTACGAAATGTGATTTTAATACCTTTTGTTTGTACCATATTTGTACCTATCAGAATTACCTACCGTCATGTTATGCCTCCATAGTTCAAGGTTTGAAATTGTTTGCTCTTTTTCCCTACATACCTTATTTAAAAGCTACGAATCAGATGGCTTGATTATAGTGGTCTATTGGTACTTTCAGGTCAGTTGGTCCGCAAATCAGCAATTTCACACTTCTTGCCAAATTCGTTCTAAGCGCGGCCTTTCCGGGATATCACTGCATCAGCGCTCTTGGTCCAGTGACGCCGGTCAATGAGCCATCGTCAGCGGTTTGTCCGATGACGGGCTACCTGTCCGACCGTGTCCGGCCGTGTCCTGGCGGTGTCCCGGCGGCCACTCCGGTCCCGGACGGCCGTATTTGGCCGGCCCCGGCGCTCTGTCCCGGTCGTACCCTCTCTCTCTGGAGCAGGGCGAACGGTGGAAGCCGTCCGCTGTCACATCTGCACAGAGCACTAAGTTTGACGAGAGCTGCATTTGTACCGACAGCGCCGGCTCGGCGCACAAAGCGCCACCGTGTCGACATGCACATGCACTTAAATTCCTTCTCACTTGCACAGCCATGCATAATAAGACCTGTCAAGACCAACTACCCGTCTGTAGGCTTTGTGTTACGTGAGCTGGTTCCTCATAACAGGCTGAAATCCTTGAGTTTTGCATTGCATCTTTTCACCTGTGCCAGAACTCAGTGAAGTGTATTGAATTTATCGTGCTGTGAATATTTACTGATATTTTAGCAGCGATCACGACCAATAAAAACAATGACAAATGTTTGATGCAGAGGCTGCACGTTCATATGTAATTCGGAGCAGGTGTAACCATTGAGGCGGATGTGTCCTTGGGGCACAGCTCAGTTGAGGTCACGACGTCCGTCAGTGGCGATTTGACATGCACGGCGACCCTCCCGGGGCCGGGCAATCGACAAGCGCAGCCTTGCATGAGCTTCGGGAGCTCTGCTGCCGGTCGTTGATGTCCAGATTCGGCGGTTTTTGCAGCGAAGCAAGACCCAGTCGTCGATAAGCCACGTAACTAAAAATCTTCAAGGTCCTCTGAATCGGCCTCCATTGGGCGGTGCGGCTGCGGCTGCGCGATGGCCCGGCGAGCGCCGCCCCGCTATCGGAGCGCTGTGATTGGAGTGACAATGACTGCGGCCGGCCGCCGACTTGTCAATCGCCGTCGCCGGCCGTGCCCCGATTCGCGGCGGCGGCGCGGCTGTGGCTTGGGCCGTGCGCCGGCGGCTGCGCTCCGTCGGCGGGGGGCGGCCCGTCGGTGTAGGACGGCCCACCTGGCCACGGCCGCCCCGGCGTAATGGCTACTTAGCGCGCCTGGCCCCGCCCTGACTCCCACGTCGCCGCCGCCGCCGCCCGCTGCCATCGCTGGTCGATGTTATCAGCGCCATGCACGGGTGGTGATGTCTCTCCTGCCGGAACTGTCTCAGCTACCGCCGCCACTGCGGGCGCTACCATTATCCCAGCGGTGACTGATGTTCCCCTTCCATGACACCTAGCGTGCGCGGATTCTCTAGGCCGTCTAAAATTAGGTGCGCGAGCGGGTCTTCCATAGCGGGTCACTGTTCTGGGCCGGCTGGAGGCAGTAACCGGCATACACTGTCTGCTCCTCACCGGCTGTGCCTGTTTACTGGTGTAGCGCCGCGCGCCGGATGTGACTAAATTGCTGCAATCGATGCCAGTGAGAGGCAAACACGGTCGGCTCGCCGCCGGCCGGTCGTGCTGTAAACGCCGGCGTCTTCTGAGTGACAGCAGACAGGCAAACACTCGGCGCCGGCCGCGCTGCCCCCTGGAGACGGCGCACGGGACCTGTGGACGTCTCTATTGACGGAGAATAGAGCACAGGAAGCTGGTAAAATGAGCCGACGAACTCCGTCCACACACCGAGGAAAGTCCGTTTGCTTTGGATTCAAAACGCGCTGCTTTTCAACGGTTGCGCCGGCGAAGAATGCTGTTTGCGTTGGGGTGTGTTTCAGTTTTGCCAGACACCAGGCTATGAATCTGTCGCGTCTGCGTCTCGCAGGCGATCGAGCTCTCCTTCTCGGTCCCGGGGAAGGTGTGACGAATCGTCTCGTCGCCTCCGAAGGTGACTGACGGTCGGTATGACACGGTGAGGACAGAAAAACGGCGGAGAGTGGCAGCCGAACGGATCGAATGGACCTCGCCGGTGACGGCGACCCTGTGCGAGAGAGCTGGAAGGACATCTGCGATGCAGATGACAAGTCTCTCCTCGTCCGTTGCGAGAAGAGGTGGAGGACCGCGAAAAGATGTGGGGAGGGATGGGGAATCTAGTCGACCAACACGCGGCTGCACTCAAGCGAACAAGGCCAGAGTTGCAGGCTCGGCACCTGTTCAAAGCGGGGTGTTGTTGGATGAGACATGCCTCACCAAAGCCTTGCCGTTGTTGCCCTCTCCGCCTGCACTGCCGCGATTATCTCCACAAAAGTGTGGCTGGCTGTCGAGTCCTGGCTACACCCGTGTCCTTCGAGGCGTTGGATTGAGAGGACCCATCTGTGAATCCGCGTGGCTAATACACTGTCTCACTGTCAAACTAGACCATCAGGCTACAATTACGACAGACTTCCCCCTTTGAAGTCTCCGACGATCTCTGGGGTCTAAATCGCCTGCCTTTCCCTAAGGCCGTGTGTCTTCTGGGGACAGTTCTCCGTTGCTCTGGCGACCAGCTGTGTCTCGCTGGGTCCCACGGTCGCACCCGGCGCGGACCAATCCTCCGCCCAACACCCACCATTGTCGGAGAGGATCGGCGCCCATTGAGGCGGCTCGAGTGTTGATCGCGCCGGTGACAGATCGGCCATTTGTCGCCCCGGCGCGTCTGGCCAGCACCGGACCGGCGCTGGACGGCGGAGGTCCCCACGGTCCTGCTCCCTGGCTGGCTAAAAACAACACTGTCCCAACACAGCCCGGGCAGCGAGCGAGCGCCGGCGGCCCGCGCTCCCGGCTCAATGGACCCCGATAATCCCTCTGTCCAAAACCGACCGGATAATAGACAGCTATCCCGAAAATCCTTTTCAGATTCGGAAGCGGCGGAACTGGGCAAGGCCGCCGGCACAGGTGTTGGTGGAGGAGCGAAGGAATGAGGTGGGGGGGGGGGGGAGAGGGCTGGGGGAGGGGCGTTCTGCGTCTGAATTATTCACCGGACGTGCTCTCAGCGGGGGTGCGATCTGGCGAGGGACGTGCGTGGTTCTGGAGACGCAAGACGTCCCTTTGGTGGCGACACGGCTCGAGTTGCCTGCGTCTGGCGTGTCCAGAGGGGCGCCGGATGCCCGCCTGTATGCACGCGCTTCCGGTCGGCACTCGGCCGTGACGGGTGTCGTGACGGACGACTGTCGGATGTGACGGACGTGACGGACAGAAGTGGTGACAGATGGTCGGGTGTCCAGTGTGACTGATGTGGCGACTGATGATTAAACGTCACAGCACTGCACGTCGTCACTGGCTTCTAGCTTAGATCTGTAGCCTCTGTAGGCAGTGCGCCGCGCTCCGTTTGACCGGTCTGCCCTTTCGACCTTCCTGGTCTCCTGGGAAGTCTGACGCCTCGTTCGGGCCGCACCTACGCCGCGCTCCCGATATTTGGCCGTCGGCTGTCTGGGGCGGGGTCACAGGGTGTTTCCGGCGCCCGAGGCCGGTGCGCGCGACCTCAAAGCAGCCGCCGGCCAAATCAGGCCCAGCCGACCGGCGGGTACCGAGCCGACGCTTCAAAGGAGTCGACCGGCAACCAAACACACGCGCGGCCGCTCCTGGAACGACGGGCCCGACGCGCATTGGGCCTTCCGCGACGTAAAGGCGACTCCGACGGGAGGCGGAAGTTGTTGGCCGAAATTCGGGCACGCTGGGTCGGGTCAGGGTGGGACGGGACTTGGCTTTGATTTGATTTGTTTGTGGAAGAGTACGATGCGTCTGCTGTATTGTAGCTATATATTTGTCAGCTTCGTGTTTTTATGAACACGGTATGCGCACATTCCTGCATTAGGTGAGACAATGAAATCGGTTTGGTGTTAATAAAATGATAATAAGAAACCGTAGCCTCATAATATGGTTCAATATATTGCCGAATATAATTATAACAAAGTGAGACGACAGTTTCGGGCGTAGCCCATTATCAAGTCTCTGTTTGGTGTTGTCGCATCCGTCGCAGCATACGCTTTGCTGATTGATGAGGCCATGGACATCACGTCTTGGCAAAACCCTCCCGCCCGCCTATGAACTTTCTGACGTTCTTATCCTCTCTTCTCCACAGAACCGGAGCTGCGGCAGGCGGCAGAGTTCGGCAGACTGAAGCTGGCTTGTCCGCGCGGGAAGGGCGCTCGGTCGGCAGTGAAGGGCGCACAGATCGACTGGTATCTGAATGGGCAGCAGAAGCTGCTCACCAAGCCGGCCGGCACACTGCGGCCAGAGTTCTTCACCGATGACAGCCGACTCAAACTGAAGTCCAACAGGTGAGAGCTGAGATTCACGGTGAGATCCAGCATAGGGAAAGCATTGGGCACTCGCAGAATAATCCGACCTAAAATGAAATGCATCGCATAATCAAATGCAGGGTTACGAAGACAGGTCTCATAAAATTTACCTAGGTTTCCTGAAAAGTGACAATTTTTTGAATATTTAGCAAGTACACATGAATTATGCATCCCTTTAGAATTTGACATTATTCACCTTAATTTCTTGGCCGTTTGCAATGAAGTGTTAAACGTAGTCTCATTGCTGGTTGCGTCATGTTAAAACATTGGCCTTGGTGTTGGATCAACTGGCACCCTCCCTGTAAATATACACACGTATTTGTAATCCCTGAGCGGTTGTTTCCTGGACGCTGTCATGTCGTGTACAATTTCATGGCCCTCTGGGAATGTGAGATGAGGTCTGTTTCATGTCTCACCGTAATTAAAGCTCCGGGTGATTATAGTTTGCGGTAGAATTGGTACATACTTTTGTTAAATTCTACGCTTAACGGTTTTAGCCCAGCTCCGTCTTTTTCCTATTCTTCTCATTTTCTTCTTGAATCATCATTTTCTTTGTCAGTTCGTCTTCAACTTGTGTCGAAAGCTGTATCATTTCTGCTATGGGTTTCCGTTGTTTAAAACCAGATGCTGCCCTGATTTGATTAACTTTACGCTGAATGGCCGTCTCTTTTCATTTTTAATTATATCGTGTCAGTTGTGAGTTGATCGGCGCCTACCTTAGATATCAGGTTACATTGATGTCTACAATAGCGCTAATTCGGGCAGCTACGTCTGTTCCTTGTTTGGAATCGCAGTTGCCATGCAGTCATTAGTTAAGACGTTTACATAAGAAGCTGGCGCCTGGGCACAGTTTCCACGGAAACGTGTATTTTAGCTCAGTCACAACCCTTTTGGGACCTGCACCTCAGCCAGTTCAAATGATGAAATGATACCCTTTTCATGAATGTCTGGCATTATTTGGTATTCTTGATAGCATCGGAGACCGAGCTTATGCAGTTATGGACGAATCAGTCGATCGGGTGTTTCCCTTACTACATTAGTGACGATTTCGTGATAAGATACATCGAGGGAGACAACCAGCAACACAAATCGAGCACATCCAAATGTTATAGATAAATAGAAATTGAGAAAAGTTTCTGCGACATCAGCCCTGAAAGCCGGACGTCCTCCCATTCTCCCGTGCGCTGTCCGCGGTCGTTCCGAAATGAAAGCGCCCCTTCTCACCAACTTCCGGCGCTCTTCTACGCCCTTCGCGATGAAGGGATTTTTTTCTGTACCTCTCCTTCCGCCCTTCCAGCCCGGCGCGCTCAAAGACCGGGCGCACACCGCTCATCTCGTAAGGAATCTCAAGTTGCGTGCCGATCATCGCTCCGCGGACGTGGCTATCGTAGAACGAGGTGTTTTGATTTTACCGCCTGAATGAACAGATCGTGCGGGGTAGGTAGGGTGAATAGGTCAAAAACGCCCCCATTAAGCGCGAAACCTTCTGACACTCAACCCAACGCATATTACTCAAACCTTTGGGCACCATCATGTAGCTCATTCTTTTTACTACGCATTGAGACCAAGAAAAGACACCTGCGTGTGGTATTAAACCCCCCAAAAAGGTTTTCGCATACCCTTACAAAAGGGCGTTTTGCCCCACACCCTGGGTAATACGCCCACACCCATGTGCAAAGCGCCCCCACCCCATCCAGCAACAGAACATGATGAACATGGCAGAACTTGACGTCATTCTGACGTCATTTGTGGTCAACCTATCATAGCCTTTGGAATAAAATTTTGTTGCAATGTGTAAAATGGATGCCCGGAGGAGTCCTGAAAGTTTGGTGACGATATCTGCAGTCGTTTAGGATATATCAGCAAAAAAGGACAGGGAGAGGCCTTTTTGGCACCCACCTACAGGGCGCTACCCTGCACTCTCACCACCGTGCAAAACGCCCCCCTTTCAGAAAACTGGGGGCGTCTTGCCCCATGCATCGAGTAGGCGTCTTTCCCCATCCACTCCATTTCCCGTCAACAAAATATGGACAAAAAACGCGCCACTAACGCTGCAGCATAATAAATTCAACAGAATGACAATAAAACGCAGTTTTTAATGATGTGCACAATAGCAAGTTTTGTGATATAAAGAAGGCATCAAAATATTAGGAATCTTCTGTAAAAACAACAAAAACAACACCCAAAACCAACATCGGCACCTACCCACGCTGCTCCTCAAGACGCAGAACCGGAAATAGAGACCTACGTAAACAAGCAGCTGACTGTTCTGAAAGACAGGATAAAACACCTATCCGTCGATAAGAAATACGATTTTTTTAGGGGAGGCGTTTAACCCAGGGGTGCGTTTTCCCCACAGTTACCCTATGTCGTTACGTAAATGAGAACCGATTGGGGAATCTGGGATTTAAAAAAGTATGCTCAAGTAGGCATGCGTTTGCAAAGCAGTCGGGGAGTAGGGTGTGCGTCGAGTCTATGCGATAAATATCGTACTCGCCTAAATAGAACGAGATTTGCTGTGTTGTGACTAGTGGGATTACCTTGCCGAAGCTTCTGCACATGATCGCAGATTCAGAACCGTCTTGTGTAATAGCGTGTTCAATAATATTCAAACATCCTAAGTAGCAATCGACAGCCGGACAGCGATCTATCAAACATTGCGTGTCGGCCGCCCATCGTTTACCATTACAGACCGCCCCCTGATCGGGGCCGACACCCTAAGTAGGTGTCTGCTAATGCTGCGGCCGGTTTTCGGCGCAGCTGGGTGTATGGGAAGCTCCGGGGCCGCGGGGCGCCGGTTAGGGGGCTCGTGCGCTGCCGACGCCGCACTGTAGACCGTATTCAGAGGCATTACCATAGCGGCGCGCTCGCCAGATCGGCCGGATCGGGTCCGGCTGGGGCTCGTAGTAGGCGGCCGCTCCTAGACGACTGGATGATCCCGTATGGATTCCACATACAGGATCCGGTCGGCTGTGCCGTGCCGCGTCTGGCAGCTACCCGGCGCACCGGGAGGCCGGGCGATTTCATATTTGCATAGACGATTCAGATTTTAGGAATATGTTCGTGACTGAGTGCCAGTGCATCAATTTCTTTGCTTGTTTTTTTATCAGTGAATGTTATGATGGCGACTGTATGGCGACTGTCGACACAAGTGGTGATTGAAAATATCAGTAAATGTTACTCAAAAATACCTGCGCTCAAAACTGTTCAAGATTTTGCAAGCCAAGCATTCATAAGTTTACCGATGAATACACCTGCGCACGTGCCGTGGCTATTCAATAAGTGGTGAGCTACTGATTTAACACCTGTCACCTGCGCTGTGGCTCAGTCACGCCTGAAAGGCGTGAGCTGTGAATTTATCCCCAAGACACCTGCCTCATCCAGCGCACAGTGGATGCCTCTTATCCCGAATATCAAACCCCGTCCATGAATCACATCGCGTCGCTCTTTCTCTCAACTCACCCGCTAAAGCCGACTCTCTCTCTCTCTCTCTCTCTCTCTCTCTCTCTCTCTCTCTCTCTCTCTCTCTCTCTCTCTCTCTCTCTCTCTCTCTCTCTCTCTCTCTCTCTCTCTCCCGCACACATTTGACCCACCTCTCCTTCCGCCACAGGCTGGTGTTGCGGAACATCCAGCTGTCGGACGCCGGCTCGTACAGCTGTCTGATCTCGGAGGCCGGCCCGGAGCAGTCGCCACGGTGGATCAACTACACTGTCGTCGTGTCGGAGGAGCAGTTCTATGACTTTGACCTGCCCGAGATCGACAGCCAGTACATGGACGGCTACGAGTGCGGCTGGGAGGACGAGGAGGAGATGGGAAATCAGACCGGAGAGCAGACTAAGCCCTACTTTGCCAACAAGGACGAACTGAGGAGGATGCAGGCCGTGCCCCTCGGGGACCCGGTGACCATTTGCTGCCACATCAAAGGTCAGTCAGGGACGGGGAAGGGTGAGGATTGTGTGAATGTGGCACGGGACAGAAAGAGGGAGAAGGTGACACAACATGCTGATAACGGAAGTTGCTGAAGGAAAGCTCACGCAACGACTTGAGTTTCTCCCTTATCCCTTGATTTATGATTAAGACGTGACCAACAAGCTTCGAGTTTAATTAAATCCAAACTTTTAAACCCACCTAATGTATCCCCTTGTATCTCCTCACTGAGTCGCTCCGTCGCTAGCCAATAACCACCGCACCTCCCTGGTCGCAGGTTCCCCGGCTCCGGAGATCCAGTGGCTGTACAACGGCCGGCCCCTGTCGGAGAGCTCTCACACCGTCAGCCACGTGGAGGTGGGCCGCTACTCGCTCTTCGTGCCCAGTATGAGGCAGTACGACAACGGCAACTACACGTGCGTCGGCAGGAACGGGCTGGGGGAGGTCAGCCACATGACCTACCTCGAGGCCAACGGTGAGTGGATGAGGGTTAGTGAGAGAGAATGGAAAGCATGAGTTAGTGAGATCAACAAAGTGGAGATAACATGCATGATGTGTATGAACTCACGTCACCTCTTCCTCTCCTGATGCTTGTGTCAATGCCAGCAAAATTCCCTGGTACACAATCTTAAAGATAATCATTCTTAATTCTGCTACCATGGTGTACCTACTTAGTAAAAAAGCCCTCCTAGTCCGGTCACCTGCCTTAAAATTGCATCCCATTTATCGTCTCAGTGACCAGACCTGACCTATGCGGGACCTTTCCCTTGCTCTGTGAGGTACGATGCGTACTGTAACTCAATACGGTTCAGACGCTGCCCCTTGAAGTTGGCATGCTGCATATTGGGATGTTATTAGCGGCTGTGAGGGGAGGGGGCGCTGGAAGTATTCAGCATGACTTTGTTGTGTCTTGTCAGTGAACAACACTGTCTGTGGTCTCCAGTGCAGCAGCTACTTGTCCATGTTATTTTGTGGCGTGTCAGTGGGTCATTTTCTCTCGTCATAATCAATTCTTGTGAACGTGCGCCAACTCATAGGGCTTCCTCACGTCATAGTCAACAGTTGACGACCCTGTGTCACCATCTTTACTCTTACCGTTACCACCGCTACCAAGCCAACGGTACCCTGCGCGGGCGCCCCTTGTGGCGATGGCGGCGTTGGTGGGGTTGGTGGGATCGGGTGCGCACATGTGCTGAACGGCGCACGGCGGCTCGGCTCCTTCTCAGAAGAGTATGCGGGGGAGCGGCTGTGGTGAAACTTTTGCAAGCGGTAGTTTGTGGTCTTTGGTCAGTGGTCTGAAGCTAATAGCGCTCTCGCAACGGTCACGAAGCTGAATCGTGTGGGAGGTGGCGAACGAGTGACATGTCAAAATACTAAGCTGTTCTGTTGATGTTCGAGATGTGTTGAGCTGTAAAGTGTTTCATTGTGTGATATTTAGCACTGTATCTTGTAGCGTTTTGTTGTGATGTGTGGTGTGTAACATGCTCAGACGGTTATATGGATGTGTGAAAGACTAGCTGTCAAGTATTGCGACAAGCCATTTTACTCGGAGATAGGAGAGTGTCCCATCTGCCCTTGTCCCGTGTTCATTTTAACTGTGTGCTGTGCATGTGTTGCATATATTAACCTGTCAAGTTTGACACTGTTTGTCTGCTCACCACCCATGCATGATACCATAACGCCTTCCCTTTCGTTAGACCCTCACGCCCCACAGTTTGCCTGTGTGTGCTGTATGTACTCCCCCTACTCAGCACATTTGCGTCGTCCCCTGCCTGTCGGTCTCGCTGCCTGCTGCCTGTCGTGCTGTGCTGCCTGCTGTGCTGTGCTGTGCTGCCTGCTGTGCTGTGTGCTGACGGAGAGGCCGCCGTCGGGCGCCACCGTCGACGGTTCCAGACGCGGCCGTGCTGGTCATGCCGTGCATCGAAGAAGGCTACCCGCTCAACGTGACGGCGTTTATCGGCGAGAACGCCACGTTCGACTGTCTCGGCTCGTGGGACTGGGAGATGGATCTGTTCTGGGTGTTCTCCGAGAACAACACGGTTCACGTACGGGACCTAGCCGACATGGACCGGCTGAACCGGCAGGCGATTAACGAGAAACAGGTGAGCGCGCCGGCCGGCCGGCTGGCCCGGCCCGACCCGCCGCGGCCCGCCGACTCTGACCGACCCGCCCGTGTCCACAGCGCCGCCGCAGCCGCACCCGATCATCACGCGCGCGCCGCGTAACGTGACGCTGGTGACGGGCGAGCAGGCCAACTTTGTGTGCGAGGTGACGGCCGGGATGCACAGTCAGCTCGACTGGTACTGGTCGGCGACGGCCGCGCCCGGCGCACACGTAACCAAACTCCAGGTAGCGGGTCTGATCGCATGCTCCGCACGACTGCACGGCTCTGCACGGAACACCACGAGACGCCGAGTGACGCCACGTGGCGCACGTGTTGTAAATGGCTGGCCGAGTCCACGAATCGCATGTCCTGTGCATGGTGTTGTTGATAGAGTTGAAGAAGGAAAAGGATTTCCAGACTTCGACTTTTTCGAAATTTCGGATGCTGACTGAGCTGGATTTCGATGTCAATTTTGTCTGCCGATTTTGCTGTTCCTGCCGCCGTGTGCTGATTTGTTCTAATGACGTCATTGGCTGGAGCTGAAGTGTACTAACCGGCTGATCTGCTGAGCCGCCAACTACCGAGCTGCTGAACTGCTGAGCCGCTGAGCCGCTGAGCTAACCCCGTCTCTAATATCGCATGTCGTGCATGGAATGCTGAGCCGAGTTCCTGTGGGCTTTGTTCTCTGACACGCGACTAACTGGAGTGCAGTCGCTAGCTTCGTCGACTAATTCTTCGTCAGCCAGGTCGCCGACCTCGGCTGGGTCACAGACGCCGGTCTTAGTAACCTCCGCCGGATCGGGCCATATAGCCACTTGAGCCGAGAGCTGACGTGGAGCTACCACAGCTTTTGGTCTGATCAAGCTTCCGTTGTTCGAATGGCTGCCGGGGAGGCATTGTGAGGCATTGATCACGGCATTGATCGCGGCTGGGAAGGCATTGTGGGTAGGTCAACCGGAACTGATCATGTCAAACATAGTGGGTCGGGTTTCAAAACCGTTTCCTGGTTTTGTGTACAGTGCCGATACGGCTTTCAACACCTCCAAGTTTCCTCATCCTTGTCGACGCTACGGGATACTTCTCAAACAGTTCCGGGTTTGTTTATGTTTGCCATTTCATCGACTTGTACCCATCGCCGAAGTACAGGGAATGTGTCGATCACTGTAGCTTCCAATGTTGTACCTGTCTCTTCCAGACCAAGTCCGCCTGTCATCACGTTATCACCTATCCACCTTCCGGACAGTCCACTGATCTTTCTGTGTTCGAACACATCTCTCCTTTCCGCTTCCCTGCGGCTCTTCACCCCGCCACCCGCCATGCTAGCTGGCCGAGTGTTCACCCTTGGCTGGGTCTGATACACCTCCAGAGCTGTAGCCGGCTCTGTGATGTATGTTCTGGCTGCCCGATCCGTCTGTCCATAGTGTTCGGACACATTGACCGGACTAACCCCGAGGTTTGAGCGCCCGTCAGAGGCGCCCGGAGCCGACGGCTGAGTGCTCTCCGAGCTGGCTGTCAGTCAGGTTTTCTGGGCCACCGCCTGCCGCAGGAAGCGCCTATTTCGGGTGACCTGGTTTGGGGCGTGTGGGTAGGAAATAGGTTTGTTTTGGGCGCCCGAGCTGGGACCAATAAACCGGGAACGGATGTTTTAACGGTTGACGTTTGTTGTGTATTTGCAACTCTGAAATATGACAGTAGATTTCCACGCCATGTCCCATAGGTATTTCAAAAAAATCGGCACGAGAGGAACATTTAGGTGCTATCTCTAAGCCTCTGAGTTTTACCCTTCGAAATTTTCGAAGAGGCAGATGGACTGTCGACCACGTCGGGCTCTCATCAGCTCGTGTCAGATAGAACATAGCCGTCTCAGTGAGTTTCGTTAGCGCGATTCTGATGGCAGGGTATCAGAGGCCCTATAGGCTCCCACCCGCACCATTAGGCGGTGGCTGCAGGCTCCGAGCTGCCACTGACGGCTGCAGTCCGGGCGTGCCCTGCGCGCCGGTCGTGTTTTCTTTGGAAAGAGGCCGCCGCACGGGCGGCTGAACCTGAAGGCATCCGTCAATCGGTACTGCACCGCGGCGACCCGGTCCGTGGCGCAGCGGGCGAAAACGGCGCACGGGCGGCAAACCTGGCCCCCGCCAACAGCTGGGCAGTCCGTCACTGTCACAGGAGGGAGATGGAATTGGAAAAGGTGGTGCCCTGAATCCCGATAGAAGTGGGCCCGGAAAAGCGGTATCCGAGACAGGGTGGGATGTAGTAAATGTAAGATATCGTGACGGCTGTAAGTGCATAGGCATATTGCACTTTGCAGTCAGGATGCGAGCTGAATAGAGAAATGTTTAAGAGGCACCGGGCCGCTGTGGGGTCTTTCGGGGCGTTGTCTTGATTTGACTTTCTTCTGTTTGTACGAAGTACCTACATATGTTTGCGGTTTCTTGTTTAGATTACATTTATTCACTTACTTAGTATCAGGGAAAGAGTGAAGCGATACACTTTTCACACATGCAACATGTATTTCTTGAAATCGATATCACAAAAACCTTGATCATTTTTCCCTTACGTAACAGGCAGCGAAGGACGTCCATGAATTCATGAACATTATTAGTCGAATAACATGCATCGCATCCATTTTTTGTCGGCCAACCTGTAAATTGAGCTCGAGTGTGGTGTTTTGCACGTTTTTCCAATGTGGCCGCTGCATGATGTGCGTTTGACATTTAGCGAATGATAAATCACGGCGGTTGGTGCCAGCACTGGCCGAACCCTCCACCTCCGGCCAGCGCTGGTCTGAGCGCTGGTCAGACCGCTGTCCTGAGCTCCGAACCTCTCCCCCTGACAGCCTCCTGATTCGGTCCCAGCTCCCCCGCCGCCGTACCGCCCGACCGAGACAGACTACATATAGCCGTGCTCACTGCTCACCCCTGTGATGTGTTTAATCACGAAATGTGCCTCATTACGTCCGGGCTAATTTATGGGACCGATTAAATTCAATGCCGGACGCGGGGTAACACGGGACCCGTCACGCCGGCCGCCGGGTCGCTCTGTCGCTGTCTCACTATCGCCGTTGTGCCTGCCTGACGATGCTGTCTGGCGCCGCGCAGGACGGAGGCAGGTTCGACATCTCGACGAAGCAGCGACTGGTCATCCACAACGTCACCCTGAACGACACCGGCTTCTACACGTGCATCGCATATAACACGCTGGCTAAGGCGCACGCCAGGGCCTATCTCACCGTCCTCGAACGTAAGTGCTGGCTGATGGACGCCAGGTGATGTCACGCTGCGGGCTGCGGGGCTGTTGTTCCTAGGCGTCTTCTGTGACGTGGTAAAAGCGGAGTGTGTCAGCCTTTCATAGTTCAGTTCAGCTGTTGGGGGTTTGAAATGTTGCATGTCCTTTCCGCAGCGATTCCGGTATTTTCGTGATATTCCGCTTGGCTTCATCCTGAAGCCTTCTACAGAAGGCCTGGGATTTCCTAATGTTCCTACATTTGTTCAAGTGTTGAATTCGTTGAGTCTAAATATTAGCTCTGTACTCGAAGGTATGAGTGTTTTCTGTGGGAACTCCTATAACGTTTTCCCCTTCCGCCACTTTCTCTTTCCCAATTCTACCTTTCTTCAGCCATAGACCTATATATTTCTGTGGTATGTAGCGGTCTATGCTTCAGCCTCTCACATAGATCAGACCCTGCGCCACTCATTCCCCGCGTCGCCGGTCAGTCTGGGACAGCGTCACTGTGCCGTCATCCAGACCATGTTCGGCCGACTGGGGCGTGCTCACTGCAGACGTGCTCACTACGGCCGACTGGGCCGTGCTCGGTGCTCACTCCCCGCACGCTGATACAGACTCGATGTGAACGGCAAAACCGACCGACCGGCCGACCTTCGTGCCGCCCGGCATTATGTCAGATTAGGGCGGCCGTCTGGGGTATCACGGAATAAAATGCAGCCATTTGCCCGATGATGATTATGTTCGGTGGTTTTAGCTCGAGGTATTTATGTACGAGTGAATTGATCCAGCAGGTACCTGCCAAATGTGGGCACATAACGTGACTTTTATGTTGGTTTCTTTGTGAACGGCTGGCTCATGCACTCCGTGGCATTTTGGTGGCCGTCTGTGGGGCTTTTTGATGATTAACAGATCCAGAGCCCGGCTCGTGTTGAGTCAAGCCATCACACATCATTACGCCACTTACAGCGTAATACTTTGATCCACTTGTGTGATAAGTTTCCTTCCTGTACGCTTGCATTTTGTTCTATTCCGTCCTCTGTTCCCTATTATCAACTCTCACCCTTTCACTATTTCACCAGTTCTAACCATCTACCTCTTTTGCCCACAGCGCTGGAGGAGATACCAGTTCCGCTGGCCCACTCTCGGATCACCGTCATCCTGAGTGTGGTGTTCGGCGTACTGGTGCTGGCCGGTATCATCCTGGTGGCGCGCTTCTACGGACGCATGAGGCTCGAGAGGCGCGAGCGGGAGCGGGCCGTAGAGAAGGCCAACGCGTTCCACGCCATGACGAAGAAGGTCATCATCGACCACCAGAACATGCTGGCCAACGGCACCATCGTGGCACCAACCATCCGGATCGAACGCTGCAAGTGAGTAACGGGCTGAGGACAGTACTAGTGCAGTAGAGGTTAGGCTTTACAAATTACCCTCACGCAGGACGGCCCGACAGGGATCTAAATTGACGGATGCTGGTGAGGGAGTCGCGGCGTGTTTGTTTGTTTTGCCACCGACTGCGGTTGTTTGGCGTAGGGTGGTGTCCCTGTGTGTACGGTGATTAGGGTGGCCGGACGGGGCTCACCCTCGCCAGCCCCACGGTTGGAGCCGTCACCGCCGCCGCCGCGGGGACCAAAATAGACCGAACTCGAGCCGAGAAACGGAACGATTGTTTATCGTGACGCATTTGTGCTATGGTTAATGCGTGGAACATATGTTTATTTATTTCCTTTCTAAAATACCACTTGTTTTCGGAAACTGAAAGGTTAAGCTTGACAGTGTTTGTTAATTTCCAGCAAATTGCCGCCTCAGTTAGTCGATTTGAAATCAGTCTGTCGATGCGTTGGTGGCAGATTAAACCCCTGGAGCAGCAACGAAGCAGCGGTCAGGTTAACTAGAGCCGGATATTTACCGCTACCGCTGCCGCCACAGACCGCTCCAAACGGCAGGGCTGCTCCGTCAGCTCTGCCAGCGTTTACCGGCGCTCTGGCGGAATCCGCCGCGACGGGCTGGAGCCAGTCGGGCGTCAGTTTACATGTTTTGGAGATTGTGAGGTGTTTTGAGCGACAAACCCACCGCCGCACCGAATGACGCGTTCTTGGTAGATGGCGGAGCGTTTTTGGTATTGCTCGTCACTGGCTGGAAGAGTGCGGGTGGCGACTGAAGCCGTGGTGGCTGTGAGACGGATGTGTAAGGAGTTGACATGTATTCGAGGGAATGGATAGGCGAATTATCTGCCTGGTGACCTCCGTCATGGTCATGCCACATTTGGATCTTTGACCGGTCAATGTGAGCAAAATCTGTTTGAAACACATCCCTGAATGTTTGAAACACGTGGTCATCATTCCTCATAACCAATGACGAAACACTTCCATACTTCTATCGAGCTGTACACTAGCGACAGTTATATAAAAGCCCCTATTTCTCGGAACTCTCCTGATGATTTATCATCATTTCCCCTCGTCATTCTATTCGCTGTCGTCTCCCATTCCATACCATCGTCCCTCGTTTAACTAACCCCCTCTTCTCTCTCCTCCCGTCAGACCGAGCAAGGAGGGCTCCGTGATGTCGGCCTACGAACTGCCCGTTGACCCGGGCTGGGAGATCCCGCGTGCCCGCCTCCAGCTCGGCAAACAGCTCGGAGAGGGAGCCTTCGGACGGGTGGTGCGTGGTGCACTGGACGGCTCGGCCAAACCCAACTCGAGCGTCACGGTGGCCGTCAAAATGCTGAAGGGTATGTATCAGGATACTGCTGTGCTGTATGGATAGTGGCAGTAGGTTGCGTTTTAATGCGATTACTGGTGTGAGCTTTTGAGCATTGCTAATTTTGAATTCGATGAACAACAAATAGAAATGCTGTCATTTATTTACATCTTTTGTTGGGTAATGATAATGTAATGCAATGCAATGCAATGCCGAACTCTTGAGCAATGAGGAAATCACTATTCAAAGTTTTGTGACTTGACGGAAGTTAGCGTCTTCAAATGTGTCCTGTGATCTGTGACCTATGGGACCCAGTGTGACCTGTTGCCCAGTGTGACCAGTGACCTCTGTGACCTGCAGAGGGTCACACGGACGCCGAGCTGATGGACCTGGTCTCCGAGATGGAGGTGATGAAGATGATCGGCAGGCACGTCAACATCATCAACCTGATCGGCACGTGCACCCAGGACGGGCCGCTGCTCGTCATCGTGGAGTTCGCCCCGCACGGTCAGTGGCGCACTAAGCAACCGGAAGGGGGGGGGGGGCACTCAGGGAGGCGCACTCAGGGAACGGAAACGGGAGGTGGGGGCAGAGTGTAGATGGAACACTGAAAATGGGCAGAGTGGTCCACTGTCTTTTGAGTGATGGACCTTAACCCGCGCGGGGCTGGGGGGGGGTAAATTTTACCCCCCCTCGCGAATTTTTGCGATATCTCAAAAACGGCGGCGCGCAGCGCCGCAAAACTTTCAGTACCTTTTCTTACATCAATTTGACACGTTCCCTGAAAATTTGAGCGAAATCCGTCGGAAAAATTTTGAGAAATTGACGTTTTAGTGACGTCATGTTCGTCATTTTCGCCTCAAAAACGGCAAAAGTTCAAACGCCGCTAACATCTTCATTTTTAAAGGAATCAAGACGTAACAAAAAAGGTTATACGTAATTTTACTTTGTCTATCAAATGGCTATCTCGGTTTTTTGAAAATTTTGGATTTTGGCCTAATTTTTTTCAAAAAACTGACTTTTTTGGGAAGATCATTATAAAATCCAAAATTTTGAGTCTATCGAAAAAACCGGAATATATGTCAGAGAAGTGGTCTATGTGCACCTACATACCAAATTTTAGAAGAATCGGTTCAAAAATGTGGGAGTTATTCAAAATTTTATGACGTCACGACACACAAATTTTTTGAAAAATGACTTTTTTGGAAGTTCTAGACCTCGTACGGAAACAAAAATAGCACCATTCGATTCGCCGTGAAAAACTGCATCAGATAGACACCTTTTTAGGCCTTAACAACCAACTTCAAAATTTGACCTCACTTGACCTGACCTTGACCTGACCTCGACCTGAAATTCATCCAGAGGTGGTCCATATCACTTATTGAGTGTGCCTATTGAATTCTATGAGTAAAATGACCCATAAAACATGTGTCGCACATGCCCTTTTCTATATTTTGTTTTTTTGGTGACCTGACCTGACCTGACCTGACCTTGACCTTGACCTCTGAATGATATTGTATGCAACGAATATTGTCTTGGTAGCCTAAGAACACGTTTTGGGCGATCAGTCTCAGTCCATGACTCCATTCTTCGTCAACTACGGTGCAAGGCCGTTACTGTAGAAACTTGCAATTTGTACCCTTGACCTGACCTTGACCTTGACCTCAAACTTTAGATTAAGTACATGTTTTTAGTAGTTCGTGATGAGAGCTTTCGATTGGCGTTTGAATTTTCCAAATCGGACCGTTAGTTCGGGAGATAACAGGGGGGTAAAATTTACCCCCCCCCCCCCAGCCCCGCGCGTTCGGCTGGAGACCCCAGCCCCGCGCGGGTTAAGTGCGAAAGAGAAAAGGCGCACCGCCAGGCTTCGAAATAGAAATACAATATGTTTCTGTCGTAAATGATGGCTCGGATCGGTATTAAGGGTATCAATGATGCTCAGTTCCCGACTAGATTGAAAAATCGCAACCTTGACTCAGTATTGGAACTGAAATCCAAAGGAGTTATTCGGCTTACTTAGCCTCCTCATTCACCGATTGCTAAATATCTGGATATAGACCGCCGTCTGGGATTTCTGGAACCCCAGTGGTCTGTCTGGGTAAGTGGAGGTGACCTCTGTTCGTTTTTCGTGAACAGAGTCCGCCTCAGGAACCAGTTCTGTTGGCGAATTGCAGTGACGGATAGAGCCGCGAGCTTTGATTGATAGATGCATGTGATGGCTGGCACGGGCTCTGTTTGGCTTTGGTCAGCCGTTGCCAGAAGCCGGCCCCGGGAGCGGATTTGGACCGACTTCAGTGGCCAACTGTCCGCCCGAATATGTTTATTTCTGAGCCCGGCGGCGGCGGGCCGTATTGAATTGGCTTGTTTACTCTGTAAGTGTTCGTTTTGATGGCGCACAGGGAACCTGAGACGCCACTGGGTGTATATGTTCACACAGAATACCCCTGTCATAACCCATCAACACTACTGGAGACGTTCTAATGGTCTCCCGGTACTACAATATTTATTAAATTAGTGGCTACTTTTCGGGTTCGTAGTGCTACAGTGTCAGAATCGCGGATAACTCCACCCTGTGGTACATTAGTACCGTGTTTTCTTTATGTTTTCTCAAGGAACAATATCTTTCGATCTTGCGGGCCGATGCTGACAGCTTCTCTCTTGATGACAGGTAACCTGCGCTCCTATCTGCGCGAGCGGCGCCACACCACCGGCTACGAGAGAGCGTTCGATCACGAGACGCCCACTGTCAGGGAGCTGACCAGCTTCGCCTACCAGGTGGCCAGGGGCATGGAGTACCTGGCAGCCAAAAAGGTACGCATGGTCGTCTCGCCTAGAGGCGCTGTTGTGTTCTTTTATACTCACTCAACCTTAGTTGGTCTCTAGACTGGCGTCTCCGCTTTTGTCCACATTTCTGCTCAAAGGCCACCAGCTCAGCTCGCCCAGGTGGAAGCTCTCCTGTCGCCAAATGCCGCGTGCCACAGCGCACTGCCCCACCCCGGTCCGCGCCGCCAGCGTCTCCGTTTGAAGCCGTGCGCTGTTGCATGAAAGCGTCACGTTACGCGAGACGTCACGTCACACGGGGCTGACCGACCACCGGAGATGGGCCCTGAATTGTGCGGAATGGCGCTCGGCGCCGCAGTGATGGCCGCTGACTTCCCGAATGGGCGCCCCGCTGGCTGGCCTCCAGACGGGAGTGGGCTCCTCGGGCCTGGCAGCTGCTCAGATAGTGTGGCGGCGCCAGCGGCCCACCCCGCGACTAGTGCGCACGCTGTGTTCCAAAGCTGACGTACGGGGGCGTTTGGTGCTCAGCGCTGTCAGCACTCGTGTAGTTATGGGCGGTTTAGTGTAGCTGCTTGGCCATAATGTTGTTCTACGCCTCATGTTTTTCGTTGCCCCGTTTCCACACATGTGGGAAATTTTCTGAGATATTCTTTGAACAGACGTTTTTAGACAAATCTCGTGTCTTGCATCCAAGCAGATAGCGTGATAGTTTATTATCAGTCGCTCTCCTAATTCTCTAGCTCTTAGTTTTCATGTGCGCGGTCAATACCGTTTTTTTTTTCTTTACCTCGTTTCGATCAAAACACTTTTCATCAAGCCTTCCCCCTGAATAGCTCGTCTCTAACTTCTGTTTGCGCCTGCGCAGTGCATCCACCGCGATCTGGCCGCCCGCAACATCCTGGTCGGTGAGAACAAGACTCTGAAGATCGCCGACTTCGGCCTGGCGCGCGACATCCAGAACAACGAGTACTACCGCAAGGTGACGGACGGCCGGCTGCCGGTCAAATGGATGGCGCCCGAGGCGCTGTTCGAGCGGCTCTACACCACCCAGTCAGACGTGTGAGTAGTGTGTGACGTCATATGAGGGAATGACGTTATAGGAGGTAGGGTGGTGTGACGTAATTACCAAGAGATGGAATAACTAGGGGAAGTATGATGTCGTAAGAGGATAAACATCGAAGTGATGTCAGACAAAAGATGGCGCGGCATCTTACGTGGACGAATGGTAGAGCTTCCTGCTCACAAAAGGATTTGAATCATGTTTTGTGGTAAATATGTACCTATACAGTATTGTCTTATCGCTTATGGTCTAATATGTGTGGATTGAAGCGGTGTGAAATTTGAGACACTTTGGGTGGTAAGGATACCTAATAGTGTCTCTAAGGGCGCAGTGGGTGCCGTTTTCCCTCGGGGTTTCCAGCCCTGTGAATCATGGCTCGGCAGGCACAGGGCGAAGGGTTCGCGTACCCACGGCGGTGACAGGCGTGCTGTCTGTTGCGCCTTTCTCCCTGACAAACAAACAAGGACGGGCCGGCACTGGAGCGGTATTATACCTCGGCGTCATGCCGTACAAGCCTCACTCCGGTCCGGTATTTGTTCTGGCTGCTGGGTGTTGATGATTGCCAGCGGTGCCGCTGCCGGCTGACTCAGTCTAGTGTTGACGGTGTGATTAAGACCGACCTCCGGCGAGTGGCGCGGCCGACTGACGCTGATCCCTCCCTCCACAGGTGGTCGTTCGGCATCCTCCTGTGGGAGATCTTCTCCATGGGCGGCATGCCCTACCCGAGCATCCCCAACGTGGAGAAGCTCTTCAGCCTGCTGAGGGAAGGCTACCGGATGGAGCGGCCGCCCGGCTGTCCACAGAAACTGTGAGTACTCAGTACCCAGTACACAGGATCCGGTCCGTAGTACCCAGTGGTCGGTACACAGTACATATGGGCCCTTACCACCGTCCGGAGCGCGGCTGGTGCCAGACTCGGCCGGACACTGCGGCCTCACTGGGAATTGTTACCGAATATTGTTCGGTGGTCGAGGGTAGCCAGACAGACTGAACTGTATAAACAGTGCCGTCTGCGCGCGCGCCACGCAGTAACCGATACGGACCGCTGGAGCCAGCGTGGTTGTTAATTACCATTCGATAGCCTTGTGCGGCCCGGACCCCGGCCTACCAGTCTTTGACGATCGGAGAGTTGTTTGCGAACGAGGCGGTGGGAACCAGTGCAGTATAATTGATTCCTACAAATAAATCATTAGTGCTGGGATTTTGCACACGGATGTTCCAGCAGAGCTCACATGGTGAACTTTGATCTGGATATGTTTACTGTTGCAAATACCTTACCTATTTGTTGCATATTCGATCGAGGATGATTCATTTTAGTAATCCTTAAATTTGAGTAATCCCTGTGCTTGTTTAGGATGTCAAAGTGGATGAAAAATACGTGCAGCGAATACATTACGTCCTTCCCCCATTTCAATGTTGCTTCCAGACGTGTGAGGGATCTGTTGTTCATCCCCCGTCTCGTCGCCATTCTGACCCTGCCGCCCCGATTTTATTGCGTCCTCGTGTAACCCCGTATGTGTCGTGTGTTCCCCAGGGATGACATCATGCGTCAGTGCTGGGAGTACTACCCCAACCTGCGGCCCACCTTCACCGAGCTCGTGGAGAAGCTGGGTACTCTACTCACCTCGCTAGCACCCCAGGTGAGAGGGGCCCGCAGGCGCACATTTGGCGTGTCTGAACGGCTTCCAGTCGAGTTTTTTTTTCGATGAGCCTATTTGCTGTAGGCGTGAGGAACAAGAAAATAGTTTGGGAAGCAGTTATTTTGGCTCAAATGTTTCATCGAAAGATGATAGCCTGCAGTGCAGTTTTTGTTCTTTTGAATGATGCACTGTTAAGCTTAAATAACCACAGTTAACTAACATACTTATGCGTCATTTTGCAGGAGTACCTGGACCTGGGGCAGCCGTCGCCACCCGACTCGGGAGACTCGAGTCACGACGTCTCGGTCGACAGCCAGTTCGAGCTGTTCAAGAGCACAGCCATGTAGGTGGCGCCACCTCTGCTCCGCCAGGTGGCGGTCCTAGTCAGCGGCGGAGGCGGCCCGCCGGGCGCGGTGAGGCCGCCAGACTGGCGGCCCGGCCCGGCCAGCCAGCACCTGTAAATAGTGACGACCGCCGCGTCCTCATGGACTACTGAGAGTGACAGACAGACAGAGCTGATGGTGCCACACGAGTGGACAGTGCCAGTGCCGAGTGCCTGCGCGTGCCTTGCCGATGTGTACCGCTGTGTCATGTGCCTTGCCCGCGGCGGGACGGCCCTGTGTTCGCCGCGCGGCGGGCCCGGGGAGCGCGTACAAATAGTCTAGCTTCGCTCCCCGGGCCGCCAGCGTCGCCACTAACCGTGCCAAGTTTGACCGTGAACCAGTGCCATATGTTTTAGAGGTGCCGTCGTGCGCCAAGAGGTTGTTTTTGTTTGTTGTGTCCGGTGGCCGGCGCCGCCCGTTTCAGTCGCTAGGGACCGTCTGCGTGCGAGTCTGTGAGTGTGTTTGTGTGTCTGTCTCGGTGACGGACGTGCGATGTTCAGTATTATTTATTTTACAGTTGTACATGTCGTGCGCGTGTCAGTGGACTGTATGCATGTGTGGCGCAGCGGAGTCGTGAGAGCGTGTGTTTGTATCTGGCGACAGTTGTACGTGGCCGCCTCGTGTGTACGTATGTGTGCCCCGCACTGCGGTTATCTCTAGTTTTAGCGTTGTGAACAGTCGCGCGCGCTGAACTCCGTGCCATGAGCTTACCGTTCCACTTCTTTTAAAGAGCAGAATAACGTTTTCGTACGACGCTGACGCCCGCCCGCCCGGTTGGTTCGCCGCATTTTCCGTGTTTGTTGTTCCGCGTACAGAGAGCAGCTGGCTTAGAATACTCAGGAGTCAAGAGCACAGGCGCTGCTAATACACGCTGACACAGTGACTCCGACTCTGACCGGAGTTCGATAGCCGGTGGTGGAGGGAGCGGGAGGTGGGGAGCCACGTTAGCTCCGTGGCGGAGCTAGGAATGGTGCGATGTGTAACACGCTTGGCTCACTAGTTCGCTCTCCCTCTTAGAGTTCAAACCTGTGACGGGTGCATTATTATGGATGGAGACAAAGCGCTGTTCTGTGGAGCTATGACTGACCAGGATTTGAACCCACGACGCCACACTCGGGGGAGTAATTAATCCAAGACTGGGTTAGCAAGACCGACAGACCGTCTCACCACAGTTCAGTTTCAGTATATTCATGGTTACGCACATACAGACGAATATGAACAACATAACATCGGTAGCACAACACTGAGAGGTCCGGCGCCGCCGGCGGCGGGCCCGGAGCAGATAACTGAGGCCCGAGCGACCCCTGTGCCGAGGACAGAGACCCACCCTGGCCTCCAGACAGGCCGCACAGTCACCAGCGGGCGGGACCCATCCCACGCTGCCGGCCACTGTCCGAACCCGGCACGTCGACCTGTCTTATCGAGCTCCGGACACACGGTTTGTGACGACACTATTGCAACTGTACCGGGAGCCAAGTCGGTTCCCTCCGTGGTTCGCGCGGCAACCAATGGATATTGGCGGATTCGGCTCCATCTTCTCCCTCCCCCGGTTCCCACAGCCTCCTGACTCGACATTTTAACAAGCCCCCCGTCCATGGCGTTCTAACGCCGTTTTTAGTGCCTTGCGTGACTTCTTCGAGCTCCCGTGAAATAAAGGGGAATGATATAACAGCTCCCGTTCAGCCACAGGGAGTTCAGAATTCACAAGCTCGCATCGGAGTCTCCTTCCCGACCGTCCCTGACGAAAGTCCCATTTCTGCATCCCACAACGGAACATACAACGGACAATGACCATAATTAAAGCCGAACAACATTCGATGTTGCAACATAACGGAACTATTTATCAGCGATCGGAACGTCGCCCCCTCAAACTGCCCGACCTGGGTGATGGATTTCTGATAACGAAGATCTACATCAGAACCAATCGTCTTTGTTGCGATGAGTCACATCAGAAAGCGCGTTAAGTCTTCTCGCAGCGTGCGCCAACAACGGCGCAGTTTAGTCGACTTTGGAACGCCCGTACCAGGCTCATCCACCCGACTGAGTTTCGGATCTGAACAGATCCAATGTGCGTCTCGCTTGCCCCTCACAAGACACCACCTGGCATACCGCTTACACAGGACAGGTTGGCGAGACGAGCGCAGCTCGAGGTTAACACAGGGGAACACAGCGTCACCTAGATATACATAATCCCGCACGCACGCACACCTCATTTGTACCGCATAAATAAGTTTTCTCTCTCACGCACACATTATCACTGAGCCCGGTACATGGGATCCCAAAGGTATGTGCAGCCCCTCCCCACACGGAGAGCCCCCCCCCCCCCCCCCTCAGGCTCAGCTGAGACGTGGATGTACAGGTGGCGCCGCCCGGCGGCCGACTGCAGCGTTATTGTCTCCGTAGTTGCCGGTTCTGCTCGGTCAGAGATGCAATCTCCTCACCCAGAACGTTCATATTGTCCTGAAACGAGAGCAAGCCTGTGAGGGATGGACAATTCAAATACTATGAATGGTTGATGACGCTTCATCAGAAACACATTGATCATGGGTAAATCCAATAGCCATACCAACACGTCTTCCACAACAATTGGCGTTAGCTGCCAGCTGAAACCAGCACAAAGCAGGACGGAATCAGCCTATCATTCGTTGTCACTTTTCTAAGACAAAAAGCTAAACGGTACGAGCAAAAGCGACTTCAGCAAACATACAGGCACCACGCCATCACATGTCTGTCTCCCGTAATAGAACCACCGGAAAAATTCTAGTACACATTAGGATAGAACCTGATATCTTATTGCTCGACGCCCACCTTGAGGGTCATATTCTTGAGTAGTGTGTCCTCCAGCACCGACTGCAGCTTCTTGTTGATCTCCAGGGAGAGCTCGAGCGTCATGGCCTGGTCCTTGGAGTGGGAGCCGTAGACGGAGGCCATGATGCCGCCCTTCCGCATCATCTCCGACTGGAACGGCGCCGGGAAGTTAGAGGGAGCGAGGGAGGGAGGGAGGGAGGGAGGAGGGAGCGAGAGAGCGAGGCCCTCGCTCTCTCCGAGGGAGGAAGCGAAAGACAGGGTAGGAGTCCATTACAACGAAGTCAACAACTGAGATGGAAGCGATCACCGGGGCCGCATTAATGACGCAATATCTGTTTCCTTCAGACATTTATTGCGACAGTTATTGTTTTCCAATACGACGCAGAGACAGACAGGCACAGGCAAAACATGCTTAAAATATCACATGAAAAGCACCTTGTTGGTGATTATACCTCACCGTGGAAAAAGAGGGCAGCATTGTTGCCATGCAGAAAAAGCCTCCTACAAATTTTAACGGCGACATTCATGAAAGCAAACAAGCTCAGGCATTACGACTTTAAATACGAAAATGAGACAAAACGAACATGTCAATGCGCACATAGAGTGATTACGGGACACTGAATCGGATACCTACCACGACTTTCTTAGCCGCTCGCCCGAGCTGCATGAAAGAACACGATACCATCACGCTTGAAAATGACGAACATTAGACTATTCTATCGAAATTTCAATCAGTTGAACTGCACACACAAAATGAGTGAGACAAAACTAACTTGAGCTTGAATCGTTACTGTGAGCTGCTGGTTAATATACAAAGCTAAAAGCGTCCGCTCTATACTGACGTCATGCGCAATAACTCGTTATGCAGTTCTTCTGAATGCTTGAGACGAGGTGTTAGTATCACTGATGTTAGTTGTCGGACTTTCGTCCCCGTCTTGAGTTGAGATGTTAGTTTCACAACGTTTCGGCCAGTTACTTCTCCGGCCGTCGTCAGGTGTTCTTTGGCCCTTAGAAGGACCTGGATGTTGGTGGCGTTGCGCCGTACGCGTCATACCGTTCGAAAGCTCCTGTAGTCAGCGGGAATCGAAATGGTTGGAACTGGTTAGAAAAGTGGTTAGAACCGTGGACTATCACCGGGGAAACCCGAGTTCGAGTCCCGCTGACTACAGGAGCTTTCGAACAGTATGACGCGTACGGCGCAACGCCACCAACATCCAGGTCCTTCTAAGGGCCAAAAAACACCTGACGACGGCCGGAGAAGTAACTGGCCGAAACGTTGTGAAACTAACATCTTAACTCAAGACGGGGATGAAAGTCCGACAACTAACATCAGTGGAACTCGTTTTGCCTTGATGATAACACAACTCACAAGTCTGGTTTTACACAACAGGACTGCATCGAGTGTGCACTGCCCGCAATACACTTTCCCTTGGAAGACATCAACCAGACCCCATGCTACAGACTGTCTCCCTTCCAACCACGGCGCCACCCTCCCTTGGCCGGGCTGCGTTCTAAAACCTCAGTGCCCGTCCCTCTCAGCCCCCATACCCTCAGCTGCACTGGGCCCTACCTCGGCCTGATACGCTAACGTCCTCCTTCTTCCCCCTGGCGCAGTTACAGCCCTACCTTAGCCTGGGACCCTATCGCTCTCCCCCTCCCCTCAGCACTGGGCCCTACCTTGGCCTGATCGCGGTCCTGGGACCCCAGCTCCCTATCCTCCCTCAGCACTGGGTCCTACCTTGGCCTGATCGCGGTCCTGGGAGCCCAGCGCGCCCGCCTCCTCCCGGAGCATGTAGTGCTGCAGCAGGCGCGACTTGCGTCGCACCTCCTCCACCAGGTTATTGACGTGGTCCTCCAGGAAGTCTATCTTCTCACTGCGCCGCGCCACCTGTCAGAATGCGTAAAATTGAGGCGGGGTTAGTGGCTGGCAAAGACACAGAGCAGACAGATACGACGGGCATTTATACTGGTCGTTGCCATTAAACAGCTCACAAGGTCAGTACTGCAAGGCTAATGTGCAGACTGCACGAGGTCGATATAACATATATAAACTTCCTGCCAAATGCTGACCGGTACTTCACCGATACGGGGCTCGTGTGGCTGCCTCGGGATGAGCACACTAAGATTGCAAGCACTTCGTCTTCGCTCCCTTCTGTCGGAGTGGGCACCGATCCCACGGACAGAGTCTCCATGTCGGCACCAACACGTCAAGCACACCATTACACCAACTAAGCACCACCAACATCTATTGTTCCAACAGTTCCAACAGCCGTAATTGCCCTCGTCCCTCTCACCTGTCTCTGCAGCCGGACGATCCTCTCAATCAGCACCTGTCTATCGGGCTCCACGGGCGCGGTCACATGAACCACGGGGGTGGGGTCGGCCGGCGCCGCCTCGTGTAGACTAACACTGCTGGAGGCCCGGGACGCCTGACTGAGCCCGTCGGCGGGCGTGGGAGCCGGGCTCGGGTCCTGGGACTCCTGCCGGCGCCGCGCCTGTGCCAACTCCCGCTGCAGCTCCTGAGCGGGGAGGAGAGGGTAGTTAGGGGGTGGGAGAGTTGGGGGTGTTGGGATGTATGTATGTGGGCTCGGTCGAGCTCCGCTCCCCAAAAAAGTTTAGAGTTACGCATGCTCAAACTGTATTGTGCAGCTTGGTACCAAAACTTAAAAAAAGGTTTCAGCGTGCCGGCCCCGCTTATATCCTGTAAGTGTCTTAGCTTCATCTCTCAACCATGTAGTACATTCTACAATCTACATACTGACCCGTACGCTGCTGTTGAGCTTCTTCCGGACGATGGCCGTCTCATTCTCTGCGTCCTCTGCCCGCCGTGTCAGCTCCTCGACCTGACGGGTCCGCTCGGCCAGACGGCGGGCCAGCAGCTGAGGATAATTAGGCAAACGGGACGTTAGAGGGCGCTTCGCACTGTTCACGCACAAAACAGCAACAAAAACCTGACGGCTGCCGGGTCCGCTCGGCCAGACGGCGGGCCAGCAGCTGGGGAACGGGGGGGGGGGGGGGGGGCGAGGAGCCAGCGTTAGCGAGCTTATGAGAGTTGATCCAATTATAAGCTGCATTAGCGATCGAAGAAGGACAAAATAAGCTAACCAGCTCCAACAAACAAAAATAAGCTCAAATTACAAGTATGCTAGGCTAAAAACAACAAAATAGTGGATGTTGAGCGAAACAAAGCCACTCATCAGTCAAGTTACTCAGTCTTTCTCATACGACAGATAGCACTGGTCGGCCTGTGGCGTCCCAGAATGCATTCCAAATTGTATCGCGCAGACGACAGGAAAATTAGGTCCCACGATTACCACACCGGCTCCCAGCTGCTGCAAGTCTCCCACCTCTGCCTACCTGTCAGTCCATCAATCCCTTTACCCACCTGATTGTCTGTAGTGCGCGCCTCCCATCCCTGGTATACGCCAACGATCCTTCTACACACCTGATTATCTGTAGTTCGTGCCTCCTGTTCCCGAGCCAGCCGACCGGTGAGGTCTGCCAGCCTGTCCTCCAGCTCCTCCCTGCACGAGCTGAACTGACGCGCCTCGAACTCCGCCGCCTGGGACTGTGGAGGACCGGTGTTGGGAGGGTTAGACATGGAGCAGCGAGCGGACGGCAGAGTGGGGGTGTACTGACGGCGTTGGGAGGGGGAGAGCTGTCATCGTGTGACCACGCTACGTATTACTAGCTAGCCATAAAGGTCAACACTGGACTGTCAGACAGAAAGATCCAACAGCATGCATACACCAGACGACATTTCGGTTTAAACCAGCGTTAGGAATCAGCGTAGCATGATTTATGAACGGACTTACCGATAAATGTAGCCAACTACGACATTACTAATAATAAGTTACCAGTAACCCTCCTGTTAGACCGTCATCACAAATGAAAACACGACAGAGAGCGTCCCACCAAATCTCCGCCCGGACCTTACCCGCGCCTGGAAGCCCGAGATCTGCGACTGCAGCTCCACGTTCTTCTCGGTGAGTTTCTGGGTGAAGTCGAGCAGGTCGGCCTCCTTGGCGTGACAGCCGTCCAGGTCGGCCTGCATGTCCGCCTGGGACGCCTGCAGGGCGGCCACCTCCGCCTGAGAGGCGGCCAGGCGCTCCCGCTCCCTGTGAGCAGAGCGCGCACGACGTGACGGAAGGATACTGACAGGCTGGACGGAATCGGTATAATTGGTAATACGGAGAGGAGCCAGGGAGTGCAAGCAGCTTTCATCAAGGCATATTACACACCTGCAAAGAAGCTAGCAAGAAGTACTTACATGAGTCAATTTAGTTGCAAGGAATGACAATCGATGAATATCTGAAACTAGAAAGTCCAATTTATTGTGACAACTTGACAAGGATGATTAATTATCGTATTATGGTTCAAAGACATTACGATATGAATACTGCGACATGTTACATCCAGCCCACGACCGTACCCCGCCCGGTATCTTGTCTCTCCAGGTTTGCCCGCGTCTTATTTCGCCCGGTCCCTCACCTCTCCAGTGTAGCTCTCGTCTCGTCCAGCTCGGCCGAGTCGTGCAGCAGTGTCTCCACCTGGTGTCGGAGGGCGGCCACCTCCTCCTGAAGTCGCGCGCGGGCCGCCTCCACCGGCTCCAGGGCCGTCTCAGCCGCCAGCGCCTGGTGGATGGAGAGGCGGGGAGGTCGGTTGGTTGGTTGGAGGACAGACAATCCGGGGCGACTTAGTAAAGGATGGAAGAAACTGCAAGCATGCATGAATTGGCCTCGGGGTAAAATCAAGTCAGAAGCAATAAAAATACCCACAAGGTTGTTAAGACACATGTTTAGACCGGAGCCAGTCGAAGTAAGTCTGGTAGTTTGAGGAACTTACGTGATCAACACAGCACGCACAACTCACATCACAATCACAGCCACCGAAGCCCTCTAACAAACCCCCACCACGCGCTGCGCCGCTGTACGACTCACGCGCTCCAGGTTGGCGGCACTCTCCTGCGCCAGGCGACTGCAGCGCTCCTGTGCCTCCTGCAGCTGAGCCGTCAGCGCTTGCTCCTTGTTGGTGCTGTCCTGTTTGAGCTTCTCCTCCACCATCCTGCGCGCCTTCTCCTCCCGCAGCTCCTTGTCTGTCGAGGATCGGACGGGATCCTCAGCGCCGGCGGAGTGGAGACTCGGGCGGGGGGTGGGGAAGCTGGGAGGTGGGCTGGTGTGAGGGGATGAAGGGGAGGTGGGTTGAGACGCACTCGGTCGCCAGACGCCAGCACAGAACGGCCGGGGCACCAGGCGACCGAGGTCACCACTGGTGAGGTCATCCCAGGTCAGAGGGTGGGGATGGGAGGTCATGACCTAGGCTGGAGTTGTCAGCTACAAAAGCTGCCTGTCCGCAGTGCTGAGGTGATAAGACTCCTCTGTCACTGTCCACACCACAGCCGCACTAGACGAGTGGACACTGCCGGAGGGTACTGAGCGGGTCAGCGGCGTTGGCGGCACGGCCCTGACAGTGACAGTGACGGTGACACTCCAAATGTCAGCGCCGAGCGGGTTCAGGGGCGAGCCAGCGGCGATGACAGACCAGTTACAGACCGGTGGACAGCACGGATCGGCCCCCGGGGCGTGGCGATGACATGCTAGTTGTGAAGGTCATACTCGTTCAGTTACTCACATACACAGTTTCTATTGGGTGAATGAGACCACGGCACTGCAAATTGCCGTGCAAAGACAAAAACTGCTATGTTTAGTCACCCAGCCTCTGATCGAGCATGACCTCTGACCCCAAAATAGTGGTTTTGGCCTTTGCACGGCATCATGATGCCCGACGTATGAGAAAATGGTACAATGGAAAAAGGATGGGATGAACGACGCCAGGAACTCCTACAGCTACATACAATTGACTCCTGTCATATACGACCGATCCGCGATATAATTCACAAAACCAGAAACATCTCGGACAGCAGCAATCGAAAAACCATACCACGACGGGTCGCGAATTTTCCGCGCCGCTGTGCTGTCTGCCACCCTACCTAACGCCGAGGGCCGGATGTTCTCTGTGATTTGAGTTTGTAATAACTTTGTAATTTGTACCCTACCACCGTGCTGTCTGCCGCCCTAGGAGCGGTTATTCTCTGTAAGTTTGTGCGACTGTTCTGTCTCTCTCCCTACCTAGCGCCGATGACCGGTTGTCCTCTGTGAGTTTGTATCGGCGAATCGTCTCCTGGGCCTCCCTCAGTTCCTTCAGCAGCGTCTCCATCCGCAGCTGGCCGTCCTGACGGCGGAGGTCAAGGGTCAGCAGAGGAAACTCACTAGCCCGGTCCTGAGGTCACAGAGCCAGGCCAACGGTCACAGGTTGCACGGCACTGGGCAGTACAGGGACGGCGATTCTTGTCCCTGTCGCAAAACAGCGATGTAACAAAATCTGAAACAAACACAGTGTGGATATTTTGCGTACGCAACTGAAGAGCGAACCTCAAATTATTTGCTGTTTAACCATTCATTCGCAAAGCTATCTGCAAAAGAAGTGGGTTGGATGCTTCAGGATACACCATCGCCCAAATTTACCATACTTGTACTGGAATGCCTGGACCTGGACGGCAAGAGTTGATGTTACCCATTGAATAGATGAGAAAACAAAGATGTTCCGGCCTATATATTCCCAAAGCGTTCCCGGTTATGACAGTCCGGGTTCGAAGCGCGACGGGCGCTCGACATTTATGGGCCTCCTGACAGGTATGGCTGCGGTTGGTGGCAGGCCGTAGCCAGGTGAAGTCAGCGAGGGGACCGGCCGTGCGCGGCTTTGTGCGCACGTTAAACTTTGGACTCTAAATTCTGCCATAGAATCGGAATTGCGCGATCGGAGGGTAGAGGGCAGGGTCATCGCAACAAGCTTCGCTTAGCGGTGGCTCTGTCCTTGTGAATCCTTCCCATCAAAAGGTTCGGACTAAATTTATAAAAAAAAAAATATACCACCCGAGCAGCTCCTTGAAACAGCAATCGAACCTTGTAGCTGTCCGCCTCCTGTTTCATTTTGTTCTGCAGCCACTTGATTCGGACGTCCCTGGACTCAACCTCCTCCTTTAGCTTCGCCGACTCTTTTGACAAATTCTTCGCTTCTTGGACCTGAAATCATCGTCCGTCAAATACTCAGGAATAGGCAAAATATCGGGTCTGATCGCCATAAACTGGAGACGGGCAAAACTGAACCACAGCGATTCCACGAGATAGCACTGCAGGAATAAACTTCCCGTAACTAAGAAGTTTCAAATGTGCATTACGAGAAGAACTACTCCTTCACGTTAGCAAACACATTGGGCGAGCCCTTGCATATGACCTATAAATGATTCACGCATGCATTTCATTTATTTCACGCACCCCGCATTGTTACAAACCAGTCATATTCCTTCCTTACAGTTGTACATAATGCATCCCGGACCGTCCAACCCACCGGGTGTCCCGTCTGATCACCCACCTTGGCCTCCATCTGCTGGCTCATCCTGTTGCGCTCCTGCACCATGTGGTTCACCTTGCTGACCAGCATGTCCTTTTCGCGGAGGGCCTCCTTCACCCGCCGGTCGGCCGTCGCCGCCTCCCTCTTGGCATCGATCACCGTCTTCTCGCTCTGAGCGTAGCGCAGCACCATTTTGTCCTTGTCCCGGCAGGCGGCCTCGAACTGGGCCCGGCTGCGGTTCAGGCGTCCGGTGAGGTCCAGTTCCAGCGCGCGCGCCGCCTCCTGCTGGCGGCGCGCCGCCTCGGCCGCCTTCTCGCGCTGACCGTCCAGCTGCGCGCGCAGTGAGGACAGCTGGTGCTCCAGCGTCTCGATGTGGGCGCGCTCCTTGCCATTCTCCGCGGACAGCCGGGAGGACTCGTCCTGCGACCTGGAACAGAGACGGAGGTTAATGGGGAGGTGTTGGGACCAGGTAGAGGGGTACCAACTCTTAACTGGGGTGTCTGTTTGGACTGCTTTATAAGTCGATACCTACCAACTGTTTCACAGTTAAGATCTGTGGTACTACGGTGCTTTCGAACACCTGAAGACCGTTTATTTACATACGCGGCAACCGCAACATTCAATATCGTAATTCGGTGGGGAGGAGCACACTTCAGTGCATCCAAAACGCAGATATCCAAATATTATCCTTTATGAAAAAACTGTTTCATAACGATGCCTGTTGAGCGGGAAGGTTTATGCGCCTCGTTTTCATAGTGACGAAAATACGCATGCACTGTGTGCGTGCAGTCATTAAGCATTCCTCTAAAAAACCGACAGTCTACTAAACCCGTCGTCATTCGTAAGGAATTCTACGAAAATGGTATAACTGATTGTCGGTTTATCATCAGCATAGAATTGGCGGGCACACGGACAGATAATGCACCCGGCTTTTGCGGATGTGTCTATATCGCGGTTCTTCGGAAAACCAGGCGCATTGCCATGATGTGCGTAATAACCATCCACTCATCAAATCACTACAATTGAAATATAATCCAACACAATATAATCTTTGCAAGTAGCGAGATCTCAATGTGCGATAAATCCCCCTTGCCGGCGCCGGATTCCCACGCCCATTTCGATGCAGACCGGTGAAACCACTCCATTCCGACCGGCCGGCTGGTGGTATGTACCCGACACTGGTCTGACGGGACGGGAACAGACCCACCCGGGCACACACTCCACCAGTGCACCAGTAACGGAGCAGCCGACAGCCAACTGGGTCACCGGCAGTCACCTCCCCAGACTGTTTATATATGACATACCACGCAGAGTCAATGGACTCGCGGAAAAGCTTTTCTGCTCTGCACGCTACGAGTAAATATTGGATGGTATCCCACTTCTAAGGAATAACAATTGCACGTAAGCTGTTCAGTTAAGTTGCGATAAAACATCGTCATTGATTTTCAAGACGGACAAATGATCGCAAGTAAAAATGATCAATGATCATGCGCTGGACTCCAGATTGACATGAATGTCCATTGCTTTCATAGCTCCAATCTCAGCTAGCCGGCCGCTGAATTGCACCGGCTGTCGGTATTGGTTTTCCTCTCACAGTTGCACACATACCGGACCTGCTATCGAGCGCCCACCACGGCTCGCCGCGCGATAAGGAACGCTGGCTATTTCCTGCGGCCGGGCGGGGCTCACGAGGCGGCCCGGTCCGGCGGGATCGAGGCGCCGGGATCAGCTATCGTGACGGGCGGACTTTGTGGGACGGTAATAAAGATTGCTTCACACAAAGCCTGGGCGAGATACCTAATGGAGCACGTACTAGCTGCCAGGGTCATGGCTTCGACCGGTCATGCGGGGCCGACGCAGGGTTTCAAGGACAGACCACACTGCGTAGGTAGCAGATTGGCGCAGGAGGAACAAACGTCGGTAACCTCCAGCGATAATTTAAAGCACCGCGTACACTTCACTTACGGGATGCTAATACACTTTTCATTGGATAAATGACCATACAAATTATTCTCTATTTATGTTCTGGAAGTTGGGATCATAAAGAACCGGTAATGAAAGGAATGCGTTGCTGACTCTTCCAGAAATAATTGTTCATTTTCCGGTACTAACTTCTAAGTCGAAAAATACGCCGACTTACCATATCCCTCCCTCCCGGGCGTCCAGAACCCTTCCATCGCCGCCGTTCCGGCTCACCCACCGTTTCAGTTTGTCCTGCAGCGCCCGGTTCTCGTCGGTCAGGGAGGCCACCTTGTCGGTGAGGTTGAAGAGGCGCACCTCGGCCTCCACATCGACACGCAGTCCGTTGGGCGGCGGCCGGCGGCCGGCGGTCGGCGGCGCCCGCTCCTCCACCGGCCCACCGCCGCCCATCGGCTCATCACTCAGCTCCGACAGCGGGCTGCACGCGCCGTCCGTGGCCGCCGGCGATGACGCCTCCAGGTCGGGCGGCCGACCGCCGTCAGCAGCGTCATCGGGCTCCTCATCGTGCAGACTGACCTCTGTCATCTCAGCGGTGGCGCCGCCGGATGACCCTGGAGTCGAGGAGGATGACGATGGTGGGTTGGTGACTGAGGAGGAATGTGGGGTGGTGGTTAAGGGCTGGTTCAGTGTGATGGCGTCCTTGATTGGTGCAGAGGTGCCATTGGAGGTGGATGACGAGTTTGGTGTGCCTACATTGGGTGACTCTGGTGACATGCCAGATTGTGTGTCAGTGTCCTGGTTCTGATTGGTGTCTGTATGTGACATCCCATTACTGGCACTTCCACCAACAGGCCTAAGTTCAGAAGGGGGCACCAGTGCAGGGCCATCTGCCTGCTCCACAGTACCCAGCTGTGGGCTGCCTGATTCTGAACTGTCTGGATCCTTCACATAAGCACTAAGGCCATTCAGGTCTGTATCTGGCTGTTGGGTTACATTTTGCCTTGTACTGCCATTTTCAGTGATGGTCTCTGCATGGCAGCCAGATGCTGAGGTCTCAGGAGACTGAACAGTCTCAGCATCCATCTTCAGAACATCAAAACCTGAAAAGAAAAATGTGAGAAATTATTGATAATCATCCTGACACTCCAACAACAGGTAAACACTGTTACAATGAAACAAGTTGATGTGTCCCATGAACTGTATGTGTCCCAGCCAGGCCTCCAGCATATAACTGTCACATACCAAAAAAACAGCAATTCAATGTCACATATTTAAGTGAATTACAACAATTAGCACAAAAATAGCTAGCAAAAATTAAATGTGAATATGATTCTAATTGTGCCAAAAATAGGAAGTAGATCATACCATTACTTTCCCATTTAATGTCACCTTTAAGTATCAATCAACTGGGAAAATATTTTATAAGGACTGATTCAAATCTAAGTTCTAACTGACGTCTCATTAAGCCTAAAATATAATTATAATCTAGTAAATGTAATTCAAATTATCAGAAGTCTTTCATAAGACAGTAAAACTTGACACACACAAAATATGGACAAAACGGTTCATTTTCCTTTTTTCTTAAAAATGGATTATATTAATTAATAGCAAATGCCAAATCTACCTTGACCCATGATTTCGAGTCCAGGAACATATAAATTGTGTGGACGACTGGGACATTGAGCTGCTCATCATTAAGGGAGCACATTACATGAAAACTCAGCAAGTTACTGTGATATTATATTTATGTCAAAATCATCGTCATCTTACACATAATTACTCAGCATATGGCTCGCATGGATCCAACATTGAAATATAAATCGATCATAGTGGAGCTAATTTGAGGCAAACTTTCGCCAGTATTTTTGTACTATACAAAAGAAAGATTTTCATTTGGTGCTGCAGCAACTCTTACTATCACACACTTATAAACCAATTCAAATTGTATTAAAAGAATCAAGCTGAAAATTACCTCAAGCAACCATTCTAACGCATCACAACAAAATCCGGAAGCGAAGAAGCGTACGAATGTGACGCACAATAATAGCAAATGGCGCAGTTTTTGGCGAAAACAACTTCACGGACATGAAAACTTATGGGCCTTTTTCTTGGCCTTTCTCTTCTATCCAATGTTTTCTGGAGCTCTGCTTTTCTTTTGTCCTGGAAATTCGAGTATATTGAAAATTTTACAATTTAATACGAAAAGTTTAAAGTGTTTAAAAATAACTTAAATAAAAAAGTGCTGAATGTACCCTTAGGCGTTTGAATGTCGACCAAAAAAAGACAAAAATTAGCCTATTTATATCAATAAGAAATGGGGCGAGGAGGGGAGGAAGGAGGGGGGATTGACGTGTGGGACTTGAGCGAAAAGTTTATTTTCGCTTTTTACATGTCTGTTGTGGTTTGTTGATGAAATATTTGTATCTAACTAGTATGCGGTGTGACTTTAACCATCTTTCTTTGATGAGGTTGCGTGACTTTTTGTTTTGTTTGGCTAAATCGAAACTCAAACCTAAACTAAAACCATGACCATTACATTTCAATTTCAAGTTATTTTAATCCATTTGATCCTAAAACATCAACATTATTAAACATCAACATATATGTCAAATTTCATGTCTTTTGGTTGGTAATTGATCTAAATGTCCTGAGGGCTGTTCACGGGCCCTGTGTGCGGTCGGACCGCACACAGCCTCGAAGCTCCGCCCACTTCGTCCCTACGTCAGCCTTCCGTCACCGCACACAGCGATCGCTGTGGCCGGTCGGGACTGGCCACAGCGGACCGTCCACCGCACGCAGCCGTGACGTCAGAACCGCCTACCCATCCCCTACCCCCACGCCTGCTGGACGCACCGCACACACCGCACGCAGCAGTGTGCGGTGCCCGTGAACACCCCTCAGTATTTGGTCTCTATCAACATCAATATTCAATGTAAAGAATGTCTGGAAAATAGAGCATAGTTGTAGTCGTGGTCTGGCTCCTGTCAAGTCAGATTGGTGACCTATCAAACCGTAACTTGTCATTCCATCTCAATCTTGGATGTGGATTGCCTAAAGTGGGGATGGTCTTTGATCTGTATCAGTATCAGCAGGTAGGTATGTACCTACCTCAACCTATTGGGTGTATCAATTGTTCTTATTCATATCTCTGTCTTTTTTCAGGGACAATTGAATTCAGCAATGTCTGCAACTGCATGTTTTATGTGCTGCACTATCTCTCCTGGCAGTGTGCCAGCCCTGGACACAATTTGTCTGCCTTCTGGCAAGTCTGTAGCTGAGCAGCTATGCAGAGGCTTAGGTGGATATCTGCTGCCATTAATGCCTCATCATGTGGCTTGTATTTCGTGTCAACAAACTGTAAGCCACCTTGACCAGTTGTGGGCAGAAGCTGAAAGACTTCAAAACATTTTATCAGATAAATTTATCAAAGCTTTGCATCACAACCAGGCAAGTATAGTTAACCACTGGCTGAAATCTGTTCTTTGAATTTGTTTTATGTTTGTTACCTATTAAACGTCATGCATCATCATGGCTTAGTTGATAGTTGATATGCTGGCTTAGTTAATGCTAATTTCTTTATATCCTCATTTTCAACAAGCACCATCATTGATGCTTTCAACACACCACTCTTTCTTCCTCAGGAGAAGATCAACAGTTTGATGACACCAGAAACTGAAGGTGTACCAGCTTTCAGCTCCTTGCCTGGTGGCCATCTACCATCACCAGTTGATGTGGATGATCCCAGTTATGTGGCCACCAAACTTCAGCATGAAGACATCTATTGTCCACCAGATGACTCACCACAGGCCTCTGAGCCTGATAGTCCCACCTATGTTATTATGGATGATCCTGGTAGTTTGGATGAAGAACATTGCCACTCTCAGTTTGATTCTGTTGGCATGCATACAGCTGTTCAGACTCAGAACAGCTCAGAATTTGTGGATTCAGATGATAAAGAAATACACCAGTCTGGTGAACTTACCTTTATCCCAAACACACAGGTCACAAACCTCACTTGTACAGATAACACGGAAGTTCCTGAAACTGAAGAATCCCACGAGTCTACTCCTCCTTCCCAAGCATCCAGTCGCGCCGCGAGAACGGGTCCGAAGACATGCCCCCACTGCGGTAAGACGTACCGCCGGTGGAGGGACTTGGACACGCACCTCAGCACGCACACTGGCAGCCTGCCGCATCAGTGCGCCGAGTGCGGTCGGCAGTTCGCCTCGCGGCGCCGCCTGACCGACCACCAGCGCGGACACGCCGGCGGCTGGACCTGCCAGATCTGCGACAAGGTGAGTCGCTAGAGGGAGGGAGATGTGCAACAGTGAATGGTTAAGTGGTGACTGGCTGCGATCGTGACGGGAGATAAAAAATCGTTGGCACACACGTAACACGTTTTGTCATTGTTTGATTAGTTTTGTTGCGTTTGGGTATGGGCGAAGATCTGACTAGCGTCAATTTCTCCGTTTTGGATCGACTTGGAGTTACATTTATCCGTACGCATCAACATGAATCGGTTTATATCTATAACAAATGACAGGTCACGCAGAACGCACAGTCATGCACGAGTAAGTAACTGCAGCTGCACGAGCTACTGAATACGTACTGACACTGGGTCCGATTTATGGCGTTGTGAACGCTGGGTCGGTTTCGATCCACACTGTGCCGATTTCTATTCACTCAGTCTGCTATTTTTCAGGTGTTCCGGCACCCGTCCAGTCTGCAGCACCACCGGCGGCAACACGAGTGGCAGGCGCCGGCCGCCGTGTGCCCCATCTGCTCGCTCTCCCTCTCCAGCGCCGCCCACCTGCGCGACCACCTGCGCACTCACTCGGACGAGCGGCCGTTCCAGTGTCGCTCGTGTCCGCGCGCCTTCCGACAGGCGTCCACTCTACGTGTGCACTCCCGAATACACTCTGGCGAACGGCCGTTCCAGTGCGACGCGTGTGGAAAGGGATTCCGCGCCCGCGCGGCGTTCATGACGCATCTGCAGCAGCACGGCGCGGTGGAGCCGCGTTTCTCGTGCGATACGTGCGGGAAGACGTTCTTCTACAAGAGTAAGATGGAGCGTCACCGCCTCACGCACGGAGGTCCGCAGGCGGCCTGCTGCGAGCAGTGCGGAGCGACGTTCAGCTCGGTGGCGGCGCTGAACCGCCACCAGGTGACACACAGTTCTCAGAGGCCGCACGGCTGCCCCGACTGCGGACGCAAGTTCAAGGAGGCCGGCGTGCTGAGGAAGCACCAGCGGCAGATGCACGCGGCAGACGCGGCGCACGAGTGCTCTGTGTGCGGCAAGCGGTGCGCGGGGCCGTTCAAGCTAAGCGAACACATGCGAACACACACTGGGGAGCGACCGTTCGGGTGTCCGCTGTGCCCCAAGTCGTTCACTCAGGCGGTGCATCTCAGCAAACACCAGAGGACGCACCAGCGGACGGAGGCGCCGCTGGAATTCGGGACCGTGTGATCGGCGGCCGTCACCGTCACTATTGGAAGGCTGTGACTCGCGACTTGTGATCTGCCCTCTTTTCGGGATATTTTTGTGAGATACCTACGTGACATGATTATGTTGTTTAGACCTCATTTCAAACACGTCATTGATCACAGAAAGAAGGATGTCTCATAAAAGGTATATTTTCGTAAATTTACGAATTTTTCTGCCAGAAGAACGTTACATTGCGACAAATCAGTCGACAACGCACAGAGCTGTTGTCCTCATAGCAAGAGCTATACAAGATCACACATTATTGCACATTGTACCCAACAGATCTATCGCCATTTGCGTCAGAGTTTCAACGACTTGGCAAAGAGTGGAAAAGCGTCACTCAAATTACGTCAATTGTTCTATGTATATGAAGAAACAAACACAATAGCAAGCCACCACCTTTTTTTAGATCGCTTATGAATGCATTAAATTTCTATAGCCGGAACTAGTAATAAAGTCCCATGCTATCCACACAAAAGCAATAAACAAATTAAAACGAATGATCAAACAGCACTCTTTCGGATCAAGACTGGGCCATTTTTCAAAGCTTACACTGATGGACCCTAAAACGGTGTCATTTATCAGCAGCAGCTTACGATTCACAACCAACATCACTATAATAATCAAAATACGGGCCACATACTGTGCGTCGCGATAATCACCGAACACAAATCATACCTGACGTAGTGACAAACCCTGAGTCGCCCGATCGCTTCAACCTACTTCTCTTCTGCCGCTGCGACTTCCGCCTGCCGCTTGGCCAGCATGGCCTGCGCCACCTTGCTCATGTTGGCCCTGTTGAGCTTGTCACAGATGTACTGTCCGGCGTCCACAAGAGCAGACAGCTCCACGCCCGTCTCCACGTTCAGGCCGTGCAGCATGTAGACCACATCCTCAGTCGCCACGTTACCCGAGGCGCCGCGCGCATACGGACACCCGCCCAGGCCGGCGACACTGGCATCCACCACCCGCACGCCCATCTGCAGCGCCGTGAGGATGTTGGCCAGCGCCTGGCCGTAGGTGTCGTGACAGTGGATGGCCAGCGCACTGGCCGGCACCTCGCGCTGAACGGCCTCCAGCATCGCGCGCACGACGCCCGGCGTGCCCACACCGATCGTGTCGCCCAGCGAGATCTCGTAACATCCGAGCTTGTGGAGGCGACGCGCGACCGCCGCCACCGCCGACGGCCGCACGGGGCCCTCGTACGGACAGCCGCACACGCACGAGACGTAGCCGCGCACGCGCAGACCGGCCTCGCGCGCTGCCTCGACCACCGGCTGGAAGCGCGCGAAACTCTCCTCGATCGAGCAGTTGATGTTGCGTCGTGAGAACGCCTCTGAGGCGGCGCCAAACACTGCCACCTCCTCGGCGCCGGCGTCGATGGCGCCGCGCAGTCCGCGCATGTTGGGCACCAACACCGGGTAGCGCACGCCGGCGTCTCGCGGCAGGGCGGCCAGCACGGCGGCGCCGTCGGCCATCTGCGGCACCCACTTGGCCGACACGAAGCTGGCCGCCTCGATGGTGCGCAGCCCGGCGCCGGCCAGCCGGCGGATCAGCTCCACCTTGACGGCCGTCGGCACCGCCTGCGGCTCGTTCTGCAGCCCGTCCCGCGGCCCCACCTCCACGATACGTACTGAGAGCGGACGCTGGCCGCCGAGACCGGGGTCACCGGCACTGCCGGCCGCCGAGTGGAGCGCAGCGCTCAGCTGACGTGTCTGAGAGCAGGAACGCTTCAGCAGGGAAGTGGCGCACCGACGCCAGCACAGCAGGTATTCCATGGTGCCTATGAATGTAAAAATAGCATGAAACCTTTTACCAATAGATTTAGGTAGATGATGATGATGAATTGGGGTTTTTGGGTGCCCGGACTACAGTGGTCATCGGCGTAAGATTTAGGTAATTACTTTGCTGCATATCATAATCATTCAGTGAGGTCACCATTTACCACTGGAGCAGAAAAGTCCACAGAGATGCCAACAGCCAACATGGAGGACTAGAGGAACCAGCATCAAATCCTCTCTTTGGTCCTTAGTCCTTTGAGTTGGGATGCAGTAAATTTCCAGAAATGTGCACTATTCAGCCTGCCACACCAGTGTTAGATATTTGGTTGTAGGTTGTAGGTTGTAGATTTATAGCAGGTATGTTTTAGGTTTGTGGGTTGGTAGGTGGTAGGCGTAGGCAAGGTTAGGTCAGATTAAGGTTAGTTAAGGTAAGAATGTAAGACGGTGGCATCAGCTTTACCAATACCGCCATAGCTGCATTGACATATTACAATTCGTTATGATCGATCAGATTAACAGACCATGATTGATCTAAAACCACAAATATTTCTCGCAGTTGGTAGCGTATTTGTATTCACACAAAAATCCATTGATGCTGATGCACGAGCCACGATCCAAGAATAGAAAGGCTTATCAGACAAACAAGTCAAAGTATCAAACAAGTATCAGTATACAATGCTAGCTCACAAACTATCAATCAACAATCAATCAATCAGCCATATGTGAAATCACCTGTAACTGTAGTCGCCTTGCTGTAGTCTATACCTGCATCACCTGTAAATCAATTGTACAACTTATTAAAATGAAAAACAGGCAACCAAACAAAATATATTGAGCGGAGCATCAAAAGAAAGACGGTTCTGGCGCAGCTAGCGTTCATTAAATACACTAGCTGCTCACTGTGGGTTACCAAATAAATATTGACGAATCAAGCAGCCGAATTTTGCTGTTTGCTCCTAAGCAGTGAAATGCTGAACACATAAAATCATCTCTGTTGATTGATTGTGCTTGTAAACATGTGTGTGAGGAGACGGGAGCTTCAGCTTGGGAGGATTGGTGTCATGTCATGGTGAATAGTGCGAGTTTCTCGTAAATTTGTGACTGGAAAGTGAAAGGAAATCTCATTGAGATACATCACGGTAATTTGCTCCTTTTTTACCCTTTACACATAATTTTTCAAGACAATCACGAGCTTCCATACTTCTCATGAAAGTTGTGATCAAAAATTTCCTCACAGAATGCATTTGGCTCTGGTCTTTTAATATCAATATTTCGATTCGAAGGAACTAGGAAGTGCAATGCGTTGGATAGAATATCTAAACAAGTGCCTTAACAAGAGAATATGATGTTAATAACTGAATCATTGATAGCAACTGTTTCATAACTTCTTTTTCAGGTTGAGATTGTGACAAGACAAGAAAACCGACAAGATGGCTTCATCTGGTTTTAGTGGATTTCTTCGGCTCACAGATCTAGATGACTTCATCGCACCTTCTCAGGAGTGTATAAAACCAGTAAAAGTAGAGAAGACTGGAGGGAAACTTGGAAAAATAAAAATAGAAGAGGATGGGTCATACCATCAGGTGCCTATTTTCTTTTACTTTTTAGTAATGTTTCACTGACTTCCTTACATAAGATACACAACTATAATCCAATGACAAAATAAAGGGAAATTTTAGGCTTTTGGAATGGGGAGTCTGATTAAAAATGGGACCTTAACCTGAATCTTTCTTTTGAAATAAGTTGTATTGATACCAATCTTATTTGCCTGCCTGCTCTGTAAACATTCTGAGTGGAAATTGATTGAATTTGGACTCATTTGAGTAATTAGGTTAATCTTTCTATTGTGCTCCTTGTTGGATTGCCCATAAATATATTATTCTGTCAGATATTTGTGATGTCCTGATGTCTAAAATTGAGAATTCTTCCAGGTGTCAGCTGGCGGTGAGTCACGGCGACTGGAGAAGGCCACCATCTCCCTGAGCGACTGTCTGGCCTGCAGTGGCTGCGTCACCTCAGCAGAGACAGTGCTGATCGAGCAGCAGAGCGAGCAGCAGCTGCTGCGCGTGTTGCGTGAGAACGCCGCGCTGCCCGAGCCGGAGCGGCGCACAGTGGTCGCCTCGCTGGCGCCGGCCGCCGTGGCCTCTCTGGCGGCGGCTCACGGTCTCGAGGCAGCCGCCGCCGCCCGCCACCTCTCCGGCTACCTCCGGCAGCTCGGGGTGCAGTTCGTCTTTGACGTGGGCCTGGCGCGGGCGCTGAGTCTCGCAGAGGCAGAGGACGAGCTGGTGGAGCGTCTGACACGGCGCGGCGAGCCCGACGCCGCTCCGCTGCCGCTGCTCGCCTCCGCCTGTCCGGGATTCATCTGTTATGCGGAGAAGACGCACGGGAAGCTGTTGCTGCCGCACATCAGCCGCGTGCGCTCGCCCCAGCAGGTGGCCGGCTCCCTGCTGAAGCGCCGCTGGGCGCAGCAGCGTGGCACCGCTCCCGACCGCATCTATCACGTGGCGCTGATGCCGTGCTTCGACAAAAAGCTGGAGGCGGCGCGCGACGACTTCCGCGCGGCGGATGGTCAGGACGTGGACTGCGTCATCACGCCGATCGAGCTGGAGCGGCTGCTGGAGGCCGAGGGCGCCCAGTTGGCGGACGCGGCCGCCGTCCCACTGGACCGGCTGCTGGAGGCGCCCGAGCTGCTGGTGCACGCCGGCTCCGGCAGCGGCGGGTACGCCGAGCACGTGTTGCGCGCCGCCGGCCGGCGGCTGTTCGGCGCCGACCCTGGCCCGGTGCAGTTCACGCCCGGCCGTAACCCCGATCTACTGGAGGCCGAGCTGGCCGCCGACGGCGAGGTGAAGCTCCGAGTGGCCATCGCTAACGGGTTCCGCAACATCCAGAACCTGGTGCAGAAGCTGAAGCGGCGCCGCTGTCCGTACGACTATGTGGAGGTGATGGCGTGCCCGTCGGGCTGTGTGAACGGCGGCGCGCAGAGCCGGCCGCCGGCCGAACTCGACGCCCGCGCCCACCTAGCCGAGGTGCGCCGCCTGTACGCCGCCCTGCCGGGCGATGAGAACGACGCCAGCGACGCCGTGCGGCGAGCCAGGGAAACTGTGAGTAAGGAGCTACTCCATACCGAGTACCACGTGATAGAGAGTGACACGGGAGCGCTCAACATCAAGTGGTAGGTCTGTAGTGTTGCGTTTGTATGTCATTTGTACGCCTAGTATTTCTAAAAATGAAGTGATAAACGGTGATTGTCTTCTTATGTAATGTTGATGTGAATCATAAGTAAGTCGGGTTTATTAGATAATATATCGTACATATATCACAACGCTCAAAGCTACTCGTGTGATAGTTCGTCGTCGGCGCGCTTTTTATAGTAGAAAAATCCGATAGTAATCCTATATTCGGTCTTTACTTTCAAGTACCCTCAAAACCTCGAATCTTTTAGTCCCGCTTAGTACAATGCCTATTGAGCATTGTATCACGGCATATTGCCTACCCCGCTTATTGTATCTCGACGCGGATAACTGAACAGATGGGAAAACTGCTCGAGTCGAGCAGGACACTGCATTTAATGTTGTAATTTGTTACGTAGAAAAGTAAAACGTGTATCATTGCAACTTTGTTGCCCTTTTGAGGCCAAAATGGCGGTTAAAAGTAAGATGTTAAAAGAACATCTTACTTCTTTTAACAGATGTTAAAAGAACATCTTACTGGATACTGCGGAAGCTGAAAACGGTTGTGAAGGGGGCCGAGTACTTTTCCGGCGTTGATCCTAGTTCACGAGTGTAAGTGCCTTTATTTGTATGCACCACCTTTACAGCGGAGTTGTTTTGCCCCGGTTTCACTCCACATGACTGGTCGGCCGGCCTGCATTGGCACAGTGACGCAGCCCGATGCTCTGATTCAGCCGGTCGTCGGTACTCCCCCAAACAAACTGTGCGCGGCGCCCCGCTCCGCACAGCCCCGGTCACATCGGGTATGCAGGAGGGTGCCGGCCGGCCTGGGTGGTCAGCGGTTACAGCGCGGCCCGTAAGCCAACAGTGGACGGCCGACAGTCAACTCGGCCGGCGGACGTTTCACCTGGAAAACGGTTCTAATGGGGGCGGCTCGCGGGGTTCGGAGCGCGCGCCCAGACCACTGCCGGCCTCTCCGTCACGTAACGGCTATCGCAAATGAGGAAAACGGCTGAGAGGACCAGCCTTTTGCTTGCAGAAACCGCGGATAGAAATGGGTTATTCACCGTAGGTTTCCGCGTCCGCTGTCTTCCAGAGCTTTATTAGAGGGAGGGAAAGTTGCCCTCCCTCTTCAATGCGTTTCGAGACGATTTTTCAGGAATACGCATTGGCTCCTTTTGCTGGTCGGTCTCCCATTTTGAGCACCTTTTTTGTCTGTTGTATGTTTGTCTGCTTTGTTTGATTAGGCCCATCGATCTATTGAGATTTCAGGACCGAGAGATGATAAGATCGGGGACAATGGAATGAGCAATAGACTGATTCGGGTTCGACTGTTGAGCCGCAGCAACGGACCTCATCCCGTTGGGACCAGGGTACACGTTGGGACGGGAATGTCCGGATGAGCCATAGCCCATAACACCCATCGGCTCAAACGATCACCCCCAGGGGATGATCCTATGCTCCCGCTGAAACTGCTCTCTCCCGGCCTTTTCTGGTGGGGTGGTGGCCATTCCGGGTGCTCAAGGATGCTGATGGGCTGGCCCTGAGGGTAGAGAGGACGGACGTTGTTCGATGAATTTGGCATGCAGTGTCGTTGACCTTGCGGAAAGCAATTCGTCATGTGTTCGATAGTTCTTGAGGCTCGAATGGTTGATTTATATTTTGCCTACTTTTACCTTCCTTTTCATTTTTAAGAAAAAAAGATGATTATCTGCGAGTGGGGCGCAGCATTACCAGCGCAGCTAAACGCTGCAGTTATCGGTAGACGTCCCATAAGACGAGCTGAAATTGGTCCATTTCATTTTCACCTAGCACTTTCCTCTTTCTTCCTCATCCTCCCTCAACACGGATCTCATTTGTGCGGTCACGTGACACGACCGTTCGACACCTTGGAACGGTCACGTGTCCGGCTGTTTCAACAGTGCGGTCCGCTCAAATGGGGCGGTCGGCGGCGCCGCTCGTCATTGCCTTTCCGGCTGGGTCCGGCGTCACGTCAGGCGCTGGGGAGACATTAGAGGCACCGGGTGGGCGGCTGGCGAGGGAAGTGAAGTATAGGCAGGGAAGTCTACGAGACAGGACAGGAAGCCGTGCACCACTGAGGGATACGCCAGCCCTGACAAGACTTGCCGAGCACGGCTGTCAAGCTCGGCAGCATGCAGACTCCGGCGTCCTACACACTGCTGGGGATGGCGCTGGCGCTGGCCTCCCTGGCCGCCGTGGGCTTCGGCGGCGTGCAGTGGTGGTACCTCTGGGAGACCACCTTCAACGACCGCTCCGACGAGCCCGTCAACTATGGGGTGAGTGCAGATGCCGTGCAGTGCACGTACAGAAAAGGTTGCCGTGTCGAGCGGAAGAGTTCCTGTTCTATCTTTGCTAGACGCTTGTTTGACTGTCAAGTTGTTACTTGTTACTAACAGCTTGACGGTCAAACGAGTACATTAAACGTACATGATGTACGTTTAAGCGGTCAATCAGGTTAACCATGAATCACTTCTCTCTGGTAAATTTGTGGGGTTCCTGGGTAGTGCTCACTGTCTCACACCCCACCTCACCAGTGCTGTCCCCCTTGTCGTCCTCCCCCTGCAGGCGTCTGCGTCGTGTGTGGACGCCACCGGGGCCGAGACGGACCCGCAGGGCGTCGGTCTGGATCTGGTGCTCTCCCAGGACCCCGGCGCCGACCGCATCACAGTCAGCGGGCTGGTCGTCGGAGGCGGTGAGAATATACTCGGCGGGGACCTTATCCCATCAGTGTACATAGTGCATAAGCATTGAGCTGGGTTGAGCACAGAAGCATTATTTTGATGCATGTAGTTTAGTGATGTCAATTACGGAAAATCGGAATACCGATACCAAACCAAATACCAACCAAAACCACGGGAAAATACCGAAACCAAACCAACTTGGGAAAACTGAGGGAAATACCAACTTTTTACCGATTTATTAGCCTCTTATACATTAGTGAGGGCTTATGATACCAACAAAATACCAAACACATTACGATTCAAATACCAAATGCCGAGTTGGTATCGGTTTGGTATCGGTATACCAAAAAGCTGGTATCCGATTGACATCTCTAATGTAGTTGCTTTTAGAAGCAACATTTTTTCTGGTGGTGTACGGTCCTATCATTTTCACGGTTTAATGAAGATAATTAAAAGCATTATCGTTTCAGGGCCCGCTCACCAATTATGGCCGGACTGTGACTGTTCTATTTCTGTTTCCAGGGGTGCAGCAGGGAACAGGCGTGCGTCTCCGGCTGTATTCCGATAACAGCTGCACGCCCACACCCACTCATTTCCTGGCCGGGACCATCGTCTCACCCACCGTGTAAGCTGCCGCAAATTAGCGTTACAACTCCTAATTTGTAACCTAACCTACCGCGGATTAACGTTACAATTAAATGTAAATGTGCCGTATTGTGTTATAATTGTGCAGATGTACCGTTTTGTAATTGTCACTGATCCCGAATGTGTGTTCATAAATTGCCCGAGACATATTTATAAGTCTCCGATAAGATCCGATAAAACCTGCCATTTGTCGCACAGAAGCAAAATGTGTAAAAAGACGACGGACCAAAGCTGTATTGAATTATCCAATGGATATTTTGATGTGTTACATGAAACGTAGCTTCCAACATTATGCATATTTCACGAGTCTGAATAATGGTGGCATGTTATTTCAAGATGGCCAAAAAGTCGGGGTGAGCGATGCATTGTCTATCATTTTACCCATTGTTACATCATGTACTCAACATTTCTATTTTAAGTGACCTCACCCGTCTCCACAGTGACCGGTACGCCGACGTCTCCTGGACCATCTCCGGCTACCGATTGGACGGTTCAGAGAATGACGTCACCGGTGACGTGATAGCCGTGCAGAGTCCGTCGGGCCGGGTACAGGCGTGCTGCACCATCCGGCGGCTGCCGGGTGCCGCGGTCGCCGCCCGCCTGCTCCGCCGCGCCGCGCCGCCGCCGCTGCGGTGAGGTGACGCTGGTGCCGGGGTGCGGTCCCGCTGCCCGCCTGGTGCCGGGGTGCGGTCCCACTGCCCGCCTGGTGCCGGCCTGGTGCCGGGGTACGGTCCCACTGCCCGCTGGTGCCGGGGTACGGTCCCACTGCCCGCCTGGTGCCGGCCTGGTGCCGGGGTACGGTCCCACTGCCCGTCTGGTGCCGGCCTGGTGCCGGGGTACGGTTCCACTGCCCGCCTGGTGCCGGGGTACGGTCCCACTGCCCGCCTGGTGCCGGGGTACGGCCCCACTGCCCGCCTGGTGCCGGAAAGGTAGCGGTAGTCGGTAGCTGTTGTTGGTGATTCTGCGCCTGATTCTGCGCCATGTTATGGGTTGTTTTGGTGCTATGAGGGTTTGTTAATTGTTATGTTTTATTTCAGTATTTTAAGCATGTGGGTAGGCACTACGAATTGCAAGTACTGAAACTCAACTGAAAGCTTGACTGGAAGTTATCGGATATCATTGCGGTTCAGAGTGATTGATCAGGGAGATCGCACTAATGAATGATCAATCGCACAAGCCCACTGTGCTCGAGATAAAGAGGCAAGGGTTCGGACTTTCCCGCACCTTTTCTTCTTGTTCGTACTATATAGGAGCAGTATAATGCGACAAAACTTATTTCCTTAGGGCGGAAGGGAATTCGGTGCCTGCTCGAAAATCAGTTCACCCGGCTTTTTTACCACGGTCCGTGTCTGATGAGACTGACGTTGCTAGTTATTCATTAGTATAATAACACGGATGACGGAACAAAAATGATAGACGAACGCGTTTCGGCTAAATCGCCGTCATTAGCGTCTAAAAGGATAACTCCTTTTGACGTGTGTTTTTTTCCGTGTTATTATACTTGTTTCAACTGAAATACAATTATCCATTAGTGTTCGTACGGAGCGTGATTTACGCATCGCTAATTAGTAACTACAAAAAGGTGCTCCTTTTTAAATTTTAGTCGTTGGATGCAATATAAAGTCGATGCACAAATGTGTAATGTATTTCAGTGACATTTTACATCACATCGTATCAGTGTACTAACACCAGTGCAGCATTCCACGCTGATCAACGAAATCATGGACGTACGAATAATATTTAATATTTTCATGTGAATAAAATGTTTATACGTGTTGTATTTGTTCCGTGGTTCCTGTATAGTCAACCCACACAAATATAGCACGCAGTTACAAATACAATAAACCACAAAAATGGCCACGGAACGGGACACTTCGACCCGCGGTTTGCCCCAACATTGAAACAGAAAATAGTCGGTCGCGTTGATGAGTCACAAATTTGCAACTGCTATATGCGTTTATCACGGGAGCTGTGTAATATTTATTCAAGACTCTCCCGAACTGATAAGAGACACGTCCGCCCACCAAACCTGTCTGATGGGATGACACTGCACACTACACAGCGCACAGATAACACCAAAGTCATAAACACAAATATATAGCGCTCTAAATGATTTCACATCAAGAGATGAGTGAACAGTCCCGCTGTTCAGATATTAGTGGCTAGTGCCCACACAGCACATCAAACACCGACACACATCGGATGTGAACGGAACCACGGCCGTCCTACTCTGCGGTCAGTGGCGACATCTATGTATATCCACCCTTCACCGCATGTGACTCTGAGCCCGCCGGCAGAGGGCTCTCCCTGAATGGTGATGCCGTTTTGAGAGTTACATTTCATCCTCCAGCGCTGTGACCTGGGTGTCCGTTGTTCGGTTGGATGTGACTGATGACTGGGGAAGCAGCGGCCTTCTATGATCGTTCTTGCCAAACATCGTTCGGCAGACGCAGCAGCACTGAAAGACAAGCGGAAGAAACGTAAGGATCAGCCAAATGCACCGGCATGGTCCTTTGGATTCCAAACAGTCGTGCTGACTGATTCATAGAAATACATGGATCGATAGGTTTGCTATGAGGAAAGTTTTCAACATTCGCCAGCCCGTTAGCCAACGGTAGTCGTAATGCTGCCGAGGTGAATGATTCACCAAGCGAATGATCGCATCGGCATACCATACCCGTTCCGTATCGACTTGTCTGGGGGTTTTCCATCATTACCGGGTTCCATCACGCGGGATTCAACGCCCTCTCATCTTCCCTTTCCTCTTTTTCTTCACAGGCGACTCGTCACTTATAAATCGATATTACTAGAGCAGTAACATAATTTAATATCATTGTCGACAACCCCTGAAATTCTTTTAAAAACAACTAGCCAAACAGCCAGACAGCCGTCTCACCAGCATGAGTGCGGCGGCTGTACCGAGCGCCGCTCCTGCCAGCGCGTCCGTCAGGTGGTGTCGGTAGTCGGCCACCCGGCTGAAGGTGATGATGCTGCCGTAGAGCACGCATAAGAAGGTGAGGAAGGAGCGCAGCACCGAGCGCCGCCGGCCGCCGCCGCTCCGCGCCATCAGGTACAGCTGACGACAGATAAACAAACGTTATGGACAGCTGACGATAAAAAACAACAAACAAACAAACAAACAAAGATCAGGTACTGCTCCCGGGGTAACAAACATGAGAGAATTACAATTTCTCTCCTAAGAATTAGAAGCGTACCATCGAGAAAAAGAAGTAACGACAATACCTAAGTTGCACCGTGAAGTGAACAGTCAGTTGTCAAACATCTCAGGCATACATCACGCCCCCAAACATCCCCGACTGTCTTGGCTCCCCACTGACCGCCATAAAGGTAGCTGTGCAGCAGGACGTGGCTGCATGGCCCGACGGAAACGACAGCATCGAGTCAACAATCAGCAGCTCCTCAAAGTGGCTCGTCGAGGGCTTCAGGGAACCGCACTCGAACTGTGAGATGAAGTGGCTGCAAAATAGAGCGGTCACCGGTCAGTTTGAGCTGTATGGCCGGTATCGATGCGTAAGTGCCATGGGTGGCACGTGTTGAGGAGAGACAGGTGGCACAGGCAGTCATTAAACGGCATTGTACCTTTTTGTACGGACTCAAATCAGTCCATTGCGCTCGGATAAATTTGTTGAGAAAGTAGCTGATTCATCACGTGCCCGTCCTAATTTCAGGAGCGTTTACTAAGAGAAACCAATTACTACCTAAAGGTCTTATTAAATTTGATAAAGTTCCATTGTAGTTCAAAATCCACAATTTTTACCAACTTATTTGACGTTTCAGCGTTATGAGTCATTTATCCTTGTAAAAATATTGTCGGAAACGAAAAATTTTGACAAAAAAAAACTTCAGATTTACTGCCTTAGATGATACTTTCCCGTAACTGAACTGTGACTTTCTTATCCGGCTAATCGGTACCCCGAAGTCCCGTGGATGGGGAACGCTTCTTCAGCTTCCTCATTCCTGCATAGAGCGGAAGTGTGCAACAGCCGGCGTAGGCGGTATTGATGACTCAGTAAAATCAATACCAAGATATCGGCTACGTGTCGTGACCGCATTACCTCAGGAGAAAAAAAGAGCGAATGATGTCATGGACGTCTGGAAACGGCAGAAAGCCAAAGAGAGATTGATAACGTTTTCATTCGGTTTATAAACGTGCTTTATTAAACAGGGTTTTAAGTACATTCCGATTTTAAGAGCAGCTTCGTAAAATGAAATAGGATTAGATGTAATGAGATCGGAAAGTGCATGTATACGAGTACGAGTATGTGAAGAACTCATTGCCATGAAACAAAACAGTAAACGATAGCGATGAACGGTTCAATCACGTGCCACTACATGTGAACGCTTAACTAGCTAAGCTTCTTTACGCACATTGACCACTGGATCCAGCAAAACGGTATTGCTGAGCGGTATTGAGAGAAAGTAAGTGTGTTAGGCCCCTTTGAGCCTAACACACTTACTTTCAGCTTTGTGCCTTTCTATCACCTCAGCACTCATTCCCAACTCTCAGCGTGAAACTTAAGCTATTCACCTGTTGTCGCACAGCGTCTGGCTGTAGTTGGTGGGCTGGCAGAGCGCGAGGAACGAGGGTCTGGGCCGCGACACCAGGCTCTTGATGACCTCGGTGAGGGCGAACAGGAACGACTGGCAGGTGCAGTGGCGCGCGCCGAGCACCACGGCTGTCCGCAGTGGCCGGGTGAAGCTCCACGTGATGCCGCGCCGCTGCTGCAGCAGCTCGATCGGAAATATCTGCACACATAACACGGAAAGCGTATATGGTCAACTCAGAGGTCTATGGTTCAATGTTCCCCAGCGGGTAATAAATACACACATACATTATACATATATGTAGGACGTAGGTACTCAACGGGGAAGTATATGATCCAATTACATACCGAGCCAAGCATTGAAACAGCGTTTAACGTTTTAAACTTGAGAAGCGAGCAATAACACGATCGCTGAAAATGTAACAGTCCATGTTTGCAAATATTTGGCACGAAATCACTTGCATGTCACAGACGGAGGCAAATGTTGGTTATGATCATAACTGCAAACTGAAGGAACTAAAAGACGTTAAATAAAGTAACTGATGGCCGTTCTTCTATGCGCCTTATTCCCTAGCGGCTATTGGTGCCGCTGCACGGCCAACCAGCAGTATGAAGTTTCTTTTTGTTTTATTTACATAAAAAGCTTCGAGGCAACAAAAACTTGCGTAATGGGTAACTTAACGGCATGCTGGCTTATGTGTGTGCACGGCATATAGCTTAGGATGTGTCTTTTACTCTAATAAAATCGGTGTTTATTTATAAAAGTTCACGCATAAAAACATATTATAATAATTTATATTTCTGTCTTGCGTCCCAGATACTGAACGCAGAGGGAGTGTGAAATGAATATTTTTGCGTTATGCTTACCACTTACCAGCACAGGCGGCAGGAGGAGTGTGAGTGCCAGCAGTACAGTCACTGACACCGAGTCGCCCTTGTACGGGTAGGTGATGCTAGGGTCGTGGCAGAAGAACCCGGGCGCCACGGGTCCGAGCCGGCGGGTGACCAGCACCACAGCCACCGCTGGCGGCCAGAGGTCACAGGTCACACAAGGTCACAGTCACGCTCAGTCAGAGCGATCAGTATGGGAGGGGGAGTATGTTTGTCTGAACAGCGAACAGACATACAGTTGTTGGTCTTAATGGGTGTCTCAATGGGTCTGAATGCATGTCTGAAGGGATATTCATTTGGTACGTTATAGTTTCTGAATGGTTAAAGGGACCATCCCACCTTAAAAAAGTTAATGTTGGCATGAAAGTGATGTCGCTCGGTTCAGAAAAAGCGAAAACGAATATCTACCAAATTTCATCGAAAAATATTCACAGGTTTTCAAGATATTAGTTTTTTTTTTACTTTTGTTTACTTTTGGGATCTCCGCTGTTTCTAGCGACTTTATTTGCGACCTGCGACCTGCTTTGCGGCACTTGTTGTGCGCAAAGCAGCATATACCGCCGTGTGCTACCAAACGTTTTAGTAAAAGATTTAAAATCGTTAGATCTGCGCTGACGTCTCACATTCAGAGGGGGCATTATCCCCTCTGAATCCAGGTGCTACAACTTTGCAATTAGATATTTTCGATTTGAGGCATTTCTCGATCTTGTGAGTGCTCAAACCAGTAAGTGCAAGCCAGGGACCCCATTTCAGCTATCTCAACTCAAAACTAATGTTACGGTGGGATGGTCACTTTAAACAGTCACATGTCAATTATAGTCCACATGCCTTCGTACAGTTATAGGTAAGTCGGACAACGCAGCTGTGTCTAACAGGTCCTCGTCCTATCCCAAGGGTAAAAGTTTGAACGTTAATACGGTTACATATGCAGGTCAACAGTCAGTTAAGTAATTAGACATCCGAGCAGGCTGACATCAATAATACCTACCGACGTCTGTCTGAACACTCACACAGTTACACCTAAGCACGATGCGTTTGTCGTTCGTCGGGATGGACATGCGTCAGGTGAACAAGCAACAATCAATATGCTGCACCTATTCCTGCACACTGAGAAGGTCGCATTCCTAAATGCCCGAATTAGATGCATACTCGTATTTATAATTGTATATTTGAGAACGGTCGCTCAGTAACTGTTTGAACGGACATCTAGCATGCAATTTACATAGGTACCTATCTAAAAAGGCTTTTATATAACGAGCATACAGACATATAAGTAGGGGAGAGCGGGGCCAGTTGAACCACTTTTTATATATTGACATGCACAGCGAGATCTAGTTGTCATATCGAAAAATGCACAACGCCATGAAAAAATATGCTCTTTTGGCTTTATTTTAAGATATGTAAAATTATGTTTCAAACATATTTTGCTGCCAAACGCATGCTTATAAAACAGCTCTACGCCCGTTTCAAATGACCCCGATGCGAGGGTCAATTGAACCAGCCCATGGGGTCAATTGCACCTATCCTTAACAATGGGATGTTTTCCTCTTTAAGGCCACTTTCTTAAGGAGATATTTTGTCCGGTTTACTTTTCCAAATGCTACATTCAATAGGTCGTTGGAAAGCTAAAAGTGCAAAGTTCCTCATGATAGGTGACATAAAGTACATAGACTATGGTAAAATGGGCGGATGAGAAAAATGAGAAATATCTCAGGCTATAGTGTGCTTTCAAGCAAAAGGCTGGAGAAAAAGGGGTCAAAAATTGAGCTCTGTTAAACTACTAGTTCAGTTTAAAAGCTCATTTCAAAGTTGGACTATTTCCTTTAATGTTTACAGCCCCTTAACAATAACCATTGCAAAGGTCACCGGGGTCCATTGAAACGGCCTGTGGCCCTGTTTCAACTGACCCTCAGAGAAGCGTTTCAATTGACCCCATCCGCTCCCGCCATCTCGCACGCGCCGTAAAGCACATGTCAAACGAGCTGGAGGGACGGCATCATGCTGAATGAAGGGCCAAATAAGGTATTATTCCGGAGCCAGGAGTTCTTCTTTCAGCAAACAAAGGTATATGAGATATCACAAAATATTCATAAAAACGATTTCTCCCAAACGACCCTCAAAAACACAAAAACAAGTGTCAAATCAAAATTACCGTCCGTTTGCCGCCCAAACGCCGTTGACAAAGGAAGTGGTCGAGCGCGGATGCGCAGTGGTGTCGGCAACGCCATATGTTGCATATTGTTGAAAATAAAGCCATGTTTCATCTGACCCCGCGTTTCAACTGGCCCCGCTCTCCCCTACATTCATACTTGATTCATACGGACATTATGATAAAACACTCAGTGATAGATCGTGGTAAGAACGAATATATGCACTATGTACTCTGCAGTTACGTAAAAGCCCACATACACGCCAAAATCCCTTCATCACCCTTCACAGAATAATGAATACTTTACTTCCGAAAATATTGCGCTACAGCTAAAACATTTCCGGTGCTGTTTGTGCGCTATAGTTTGCTATTTTCTTAGGTGTTGTTTTTATGTTTTATGTTGTTGCTGATGTCATCACTGTCAACCGTGGAAGCCGAATGGCTACCCATCTACGCTGGAGTACGAAAAACATCATCTCACAGTTTGCTATTTTATAATAAATATCTTGCCTGAAGCTGTAATGCTATATTACCGTTATAGCACGGCCCGTGCAGGTGTAAAACCGGACTATGCAGACCCGTAAAGAACACATTGGTGCATTTATACCATCTGAATAAACGGCAACTACAAACGAACAGTTCAGAAGGAAGAACACGCGGTTACTATCGTTGTGAGGACGCACGCCCACAGACGTATCGAGTTATACATACGTCCAAAAGGACTTTGTGTATGCATGCACCGAAATTGTGTAGCCGTACTATGAATAAATACCTTGATCTGAACAGACGCCGCAAATTTCCCGAATGACTTACCCATGCATGTCCTCATAGCTCGAGTGTTCGATTGGTGTGATATGTAGGAACACAGGCCAGTCTAACCTTTCTGTGTTCATGTTTCGTGGATCCTGAAACTTACATTCTTCATACACATGGACGAATGATAATAATCGTTCATGATAAAGATTCTCATGTCAGGCATTAATCTAACTACGCTTGTATTTTATCGCAAGATAAGCAACAAACAAAATTAGAATAATCATATAAATATCTTGCTTAATGTAGTTACCATAGCGGTGAATTGTTGTGATGCTTAGTTGGAAATCATAAGACGCTTAAGTTCAAACGAAAACAAGAAACACAAGAAAAGCAAAGAAATCCAATAGGTACGGCAGGGCACCCCTTTTGTAACCCAACTGGGCTAAAACACCACTGAACAGAGATCAAGAAGCACCACTGTTCTAGCAGCTCATGTGAACTATAAGTCTGTTTTTCGTATCTTCTACCTTCACTCAAAGACGGTAAACTCTCTAATCACGTGCTCCAGCGAACATCTAATTAAATCAACACCACTGCAAAGTCAATTTTTATCTCGAACGCAAGATCGAACGTCTGTGCCCTTGGCCTATCTCGTTAATCAAAATGCAATGTTATTTGTCAAGTGAAATGCATTTGCATAAAAACGTGACATCATATTTTCATTCTGGCAAAATTATCCCTTTCTAATTTTATGATGTTTTCAAACAACAGAAGGGCAATGGCGTTGGTCTCAGAAAAGACAAAATGATCGTAACGTTTTCTTTCAACGTTTCAAAGCAAAGGAAATGTGGGTTAGGTGACTGAAATAAGGCGGTGAAGAAGGAGCACAACCAACGAATATCGCCAGAATAACGAACTTACTTCCTTGGATACCAGAAAGAAAAGTGTTGAAGGCGCGGCGAAACACGGACGGTGGTGGCACAGTTCAACTCCGTCATGCTTTCAGCGCAAAATAATACGAAAAATGCATACGTGGGTGTTATTATTGTTATTACCTGCATTTGTGTATCATAATATAAACCCTAAAGGCGTTGGTGATTGCCAGCGGTCAAAAAGTCATGTCAGACGATAAAGATCAACAGCAGCTTTCGACAATACCTAATAGCTGCTAGAACTAAAAATGTTTCGACGGCGCTGTAGTTCAATCGGTTGACAAGTTTTGGTCAGATTTGTCCAAACATGTTGAGCTCGGGAGTTTTTAAAGTTATGACCTTCAGTGGCCTTCACTATTGACCTCAGCAAAATGTGGTATAGGAATACTATATACATATACCTACTGCTGAAAGTAATTGTTGAGAGCTATCGATTCTTGCCCGCGTCTTCGCATCTTTCTTACTTTTCGGGATGATCGCGTGAGGCAGATAGGAAAACTATATAAGATGAAGCAAATCTGCCTGGGGACCCCCAAGTGGGCGTGGGCTAAGACAATTTTGTTATTCGTCCGTGTAAAAGTAACCACAAGTAAATAAAGCAAAACATAAATTAAGCATTTGAAAAAAAATGGCAGAACATATAACAAATTTAGTTTTTTTTTACCCAATGAAAAGGAAGTGCAAGCTTTAAACTATTCTTTAAATGTTCTTAGCAAGAGCGCTTCGCACAATGCAAGTACCTATGAACAGCAAAACGTCCTTGTGTATAGGTCGGTAGTCAGTACCAGGCAATAAACCGTGGTAACGATAATACAAGCGGATTGGAAACAGAATATTGGCAGTTGCAGTAAGAGGCCGAATGTTTTTATGCGACGGCGCCAAAATGAGATTCTCGCGTGCTGCTGGGTGGATAATTTGTGTGTTGTGTATTGCAAGAAATCGTCATTTCTGCGTTTTGTCGTTTACATTTAAAATCGAAGCTACCAAAGCTACTTTCATTTGCTTAGAAAATTTAAGTATTTCACGATTAATTTGATCATTTAGAGGGCACTATGCGTGGTGTTTTCTTTTGAAAAAAAAATGTGGTGCACTGCAAAGCCTTACATACGTATAGGTACATCAACAATGGAGGAGGGGAATGAGTGGTAAAAACCTGCCGTTCTGGCTACAACCCAACGAACCAAGAGGAACAAAAGATTAAAACAGGAGATGTCTCACATGCCACCTATTCGCTTTTCTCACCGAAACGGCTCTACGGGCTCAGTGGGTTGGCGCCGTGGGTCACCGTGACCGGCTGAGTGGGATGAGGACTATTCCGGTGAGCTGCATTTCAGAAAGGAAGATTTCGAAGATGATCGGTCATTTCGCACCAGCATGCAGAGACAGCGCCGTCGGCTCAAGAGCGGCGCAGTCCTGTCAGTATTGACCAGCGTGGATTACGCGATGCCCCATGTGCACAAGCGGCCAGTGAAACTAGCCATGGCATCCGCACGCCACTCACACCAGAAGCAGGCTATGAAGGGCCAGACCGATGCGTTCTTCACGAATGACAATATCAGCTATCAGGTGGCAACTACAACTGGTCGAGTGTCCGACAGTTCCTGGAGAATGAGGCGGTACTCCGGGTCACTGGTCACGTTTCAGCCCCGCCGACGCCTCCCGAATGGCACCATCACAGCAGGAGTGACAGCAGGATGGTGCTCTTGTCATCCAGGAGCCAGTGGCCGCGGTGGCGAAATCCACTGAAATGGAGGACCTGGATGACAGCGCCAAGGCCTCCCTGGGACACAGCTCCGGCGCCTTGGCACGCTCGGCCACCAGGCGTAACAAGTACGGTGCCTCCGCCAGCCTACTAATCTATCATGGGGCTACGCCGCTGGAGGTACGACTGGAGAAAGACGAGGAAGACATCGACCTCACCGTGAGGATCTGCCAGATTTGGAGGCAACTGCCGAAGACGGAAGCTAACAGGAGCCAGCTGCTAGTCTGCGATCAACCAAGAAGTGACGCAAAAGTGACGAAGATAGTCGTAAACCGAGATGTCGAACTGACCGGAAGTCGTTTGCAATGATAGCCGCGACGTCCTTAGGACCCTCCTTCCAGAGATGTATGCGACGGTTTTCAATCTATTTGCTGGAAAGTGTGGAAACATGGTAACTGATAAGTGAGACAGACACTCAAGACAGCGATGTCCATCGAAAGTCAGGAAGCAGGCACCCCAGCCACTGGTGCAACCCGATCGAGGAGCGACAAGAGGCCAAAGCTCATCAGGGTCAAGAAGATGTAAGGCGGGGAAGTGTCGCTGATGAAATTGGGAGGGCAGGCGAAGCGAAGTGACACTTGAAGGGGTGTTTTGTGACGTTGGTTTGAATCGTGACGTTTGGATGGTTCGTTGTGACAGGACTGGTGTCGATTAGCATGTAAATAAAGAGATCAAACTCCCATGTATGTACAAGTATTTTTTTTGTGGATGAGAGTAAGAAATCAATTATAATCAAATCAGTGGCATACGTTCCCTCACCACGGTGAGGAAAGTGTAACCAGCAAACGTTTGGTAAATAGTTGCCATTATGCAAAAATGCAGCAATAAACACGAGCACGGCTAGTCGATTGCTTCTTTATAAGTTTCATTCACATAAACCAATATTTTTTATTGCCTGTGAGAGGAGATATCGAAATATGGGCACGAAATATTCGGTTCTGTTTTCGGCCTCTTACTGCAGCCGCCGGAATCCTGTTTCCAATCCAGTACTACTGTTATCTGTGTACAAGCGATACTCTAGCTTAAAGGTTTTTTTTTCGATTTTATCTGCGCAGCGAAGACGAACTCCAACACGAGCAACAAACTCCTGCAATGAGTGGTGGGCCATGCGGTCAAGATTTGAAAACTATACCCTAAAAACGTGCTGGAGGGGCAAAACATCTTTGAGTGAAGGTAGAAGATACGAAAAACAGACTATAAATTCGTTTGTATGCGATATTGTATTGAGTTCATCGAAGAATTAGAAAGGAAGAAGCAGTTTCACGGACAGTTAACCGTTTAAAATATCAATCGTAGCAGCGGAAGTGGTTACTTCATCTCAGTTGGGCGATATGAAACCCATTCCCTTGTGGTTAATCGCATGTGAAAGTTGAGAAGATTGGTCGAGGTGAATGGTTCATCGATTCCACAATCCAGATATCATTGAATGTGCAATTTGGAACCTCATTTTTTTGTTAGTCGATAATCTGACCAGTGTTCTACCGGTTGGAATAACCCTGTCATATACCACAAAGCAGCTACGATACACATAATGCATATTGCATGACGCTGCACTTTGGCGATGTATCCAGTAAGGACTAATGTCCTTGCCGCGGCTGCCACGAGCCGCGGCACGGGGGCCATCTCTGAGATTGGTGTCAGTCAGCTGTCAGTGGAGCAGACGGGAGGGGCGGATATGACCCACAGTCCTCTCCCTCCCCTTCCCTCCCATCCCCTCTCCTCCCACTCCCGGCGCGTGCTTGCTGCGGTACGGCGCGTGACAAACGCGCCCGCTGTGAGCGAGCATATTGAAGAGGTGTTTACGCGGTTTGTACGAGGCCACGAGTGCGCTACGCTACGAAACTTCAGCATAAATGTTAGGATGGAGCGTGAATTTAATATAAAGCACTTACCACACATGAGAAAAATGAAGTCCCGAGCATATGGCAGGCTGCTTTTGGCCAGTCTCTTGTACCACAGCTGCTTCCCGAGGGAATTCTCAGAGCTCTCCGACGAAGTCATGCTGCAAAGGAAACATCAAAGTTAGTGCTGCGAGCTCCAGTGGAGGATGTCTTACGGCTTCCGACTTCCGTTAAGAGGAACACCGTTCAGCATGACGTGACACAGCACTTTGTTTGATCCTTCTGAAAGACCGCATAAATTCACGACGCGGTAAGCGGCTCCGCGCTAGACACCGTCGTTTATTATGAATGGGTGTTCGCAAAAATATGTCATGATTTCGTTACGCCATTATCGCCAGCTCAAATAAGCAAGGATCAAATGTCTTGCTGAAATGTGTTGTCCGGATCTTCAAGTTTTGTTATACACATGTATCAGTGCCTCATGTCAAACCGGGCGCACCCCACACGCTGTTTTCAATATGAACCCCTTTTCGGCGGATGCACGTGTCACCTAGAGATTACACATAAGGGTTCATTCGCACGCACGTGTTAGAAGTGATAACACGGACGGCCTTTGCAATCACTATCATCAGCCGAGACAGATTCTTGGCTGTCTTCCTGTAGTCCTTGGACTTCAGATATCCCACAGGTAACGGCCGATGGGGTTGACACCAAGTGAGCGGGTCGACCAGGGGGTAAGGGTCCTCCTGCTCAAGAAACGGGCCCTAGCATTTCGTTTAGGCACCGGAGTGCAATTTTCGAAGTGTGGACTTGGGCCCATCCTACCTGTGCGCATGTCTGCAGCGTTTTGACCATTGTCTTGCCCCGAGTTGCCCCACATTTCTCGCTTAAACTTCTAGAGCACTCCCACGCAGCAGTTTTCAGCGGCAATGTTGGTGTTTCAATTTGAAGTCTTAAGAAGAAGGCCTCGCGGCACCATGAGCGTCTATCGCAAATCAAGCAATGACCTTCGGACTGTGGAGCTGGTGTTCTTACCTAGCCTTTGAGGGTGGCATATCTACCCAAACCGTTTGTTCTGGCCGTCGGCGCCTCCATGAAGGTGGATGTGTGCTTCACTGGTTGACCGGGCGTGGCCGGTGAGCGGTGCTCAGAATTGATTTGGTTTTTTTATCCTCAAAGCAAAGTAAATTCTTAGCCCTTTTCTACCCTAAATAGCACCTATTGATTCCTGACCTTGTAGGGTATAATCCCCATGTCATTATCAATAATATAATGAGACATGTTGGACCGCACCCCGCATCTTGCGCGAGCTCGCAGATGGTCAGGGAATGCATCTCGTTGACCAAATGGGTGATCTCTTAGTAGTTTAAATGACTATAAATAATTCTTTTTCTCGGACTTTCGAGGATTCATTTGATTTTTAACGATCACTTTGGTAGTAAGTTGCATGTGCAGTAAAAAAAAATCGCCTTGCAAGGGGTGCAGCGGAGGCATCAAAGCATGCACCGAACTGTTGTAGCACGGAAACTACGGGCATCAAATCCAAGTGCTTTTTGGCGATATTTGTTTTTCGCTCTGTGCAAGGCAAGATTTTTAAAATTATAAATTAAAATGCATATGAAAGAAAACTTGAAAATGTCCTCTGTCAAATGGGCCTAAATACGTGCACGTGCGTTCAAGCAATTTTTCCTACAAAGCCATTAGAATCATGACATATTTTCGCGAACACCCTGAAATACGTGAATACGTGACACTCGTATTTCGGGCACAGAGTGTCACGCATCGGCATGCAGTCTCTTTCCATTACTAACTCCGTCCCATTTTACCATTGCCCATTGGCATTAGCTCGCTGTTACTGCACTGCAAGATGAGCTCACCGCCTTTTCACAGCATGCCTTGTCACACATGACGTGACTTTTTAACTTTATACTTACTCTATGCCAGCGATCGCCGTGGTCGAGCCCCGTGGCTCAGACTCACAGGAGAGTGCGCACGGCACCACCATCACAATTCAGTTGTGAGCTATCAGTACCGACACGGGTGTGTGAGTTAAAACCAGTGAGGAAAGTGCCCCTGTAGGGCCCGCTCAAAACCGTTGGTGAGCGATTACAGCTGCTTGTTGAGCAGGTGCGATATGGTGGCCCTGATTCCGTCACAGTTGACTGCAATATAGCGTTCGGTCTCGACGGACAGACCCTCAGCCTTGAGTTCACAGAGCCCTCAGTTGCTGACACATTCACTCTCCGATTCACGCTCAGGGTACTTCGCTAGCTTCGCTTCACGGCACAGCCACGCGCACAGCGCACAGCGCACAGGCACAGTCCGTGATTTCTCGCACTGACGCACACACCTCCCTCGCGTCCACACAACGCAGGCGCGCCGTCTCCGCGCTGTATCTTTCCACGCTCACAGGCTGATCACAGCACTAAGGGCGTTCTCCGTGCGTCTCACACTCCCGCAGCCGGACTGGAAGCGCTGTCACACACTGGTCGGGACCTCAGGAGCGGTCGGGGACCCGCCTCAGCACCTCTCAAGGTCACCAGCGACCCATCCTCTCTCTCGTTCTTATCGCCACAAACAGCGACCGACACGTGAGTGGCGTACGGCGGAGCTCCGGCCGCCGGAGCCACTGAACTCCGTGCTCTGCGGTCTCTAGGCCAGCACTGGTCCAGTGTCGCCACCGCCGCCCCGCCGCCGCCGCCGCCCCGGTCCGGTCCGGTCCGGCCCGGCGCCAGTCTGGTTTTAGAGTGGGCGTCACGAACTGCAGGCCCAGCGGTCGGCCGCTCGACATGTCACGTGACTCACACGTCACACACACAAAACTGTCACGTGATACGGTAAATAGTCCACATCAAGTAGTGCCGCAGGCCGCTGAGTGTCGACAGCAAGGCCACATGCATTTATGCTCGGGAGCGAGTCTAGAGCTTTCCTATGAGTGCAGTGCCTACACTCGGTGTTGGCGGCTAATGAGTGATGACTACTGAGCACTGCAGAGCGATGCACTGTGAGATAACGTGCGATAATGTGCGACAGGGTGTTAGCTGAGGCGACGACCCGACGACGATGCAATAACAAACGCAGCCCTAGCGCATCAATCTTGGACACCTTACGGAGAGAGATAAACAAACTCGTCCACTGGGTCAGGGGCTGGCTCAGTCATCAGACACGGGACATTTATGTCGCTTATGAACCTTGCAAGGTTATGTAGACATAGACAACATTTCCGGAATGTGGGAACATTGAGCTGTGGTCGAACCAAGTATATAACCACCTGGGTAAAGCTACTCTTATGTAAGTTATTATATAATTATGCTGCAAAGAACATGGCAGCAGGCTGGTCTGGGACCGCAATATGTATATGTAGATTGTAGGTAGGTAGGCATATTTTACACATACCCACATGTCAGGCACAATATCAGGATTAGTTTCACGGTTCTCACCGAGTGTCATTTTTGCCATAGGTATAAGTAGCATAACAGCAAGACCTAGCTCAAAATAACTAGGTATATTTAGGCGTCATTCCCACAAACCTGCCAACTGTATATCGGAGATGCACCAGACAAGCACTAGCCATCAGAACAGAAACACAGAAACATCCCCCAAATCGGCAACACAATCTGCCGGGCGCGCCTCGCGCTGGTTCCAGATATGGCACCGCGGTCATTGACTGATATGGTATCGTCAAGTCTCACATGGCATGTGGATATAGCTGTCACTGATAGCCAGGGCCGCTATGGAGGCGGGGTCGGCGATCACCTATCAGGCTGACGTAAATACCCGAGCGATGAGAACTGCGCCAACTTTAGACATATAGTTATACATGGGCTACTGTGAGGGACTCGAATACTGTGAACGGAAAAGAGCATGCGAGCGGATAGGTGGGATGCGAAACGACGAAGGAATATTGTATCCCACAGGACAGAATAGGTATATAATAGGGTGGAATAACCGCACCGAAAAGTCTTTTCTGACTTGTCTGTCTGCTTTGAGAAGAGCTCCCTTTCTTAAAATTCCCTTATTTACTTGTCTACCGCGCCCCACGGGGGGGGCTATTTATAACCCCCCCCCCCCTCCCGTTTTGCTGCAATAACTTACAAACCGCTTGACGTATCGACGCCAAACTTTCAGTACCTTCGGCTGCATCAATTTTACACCTTGTGTCAAAATTTGAACTTCGTACCTACTATAGGTCGGCCGGAAATGACGTCAGAGTGACGTCATGTTCGGCCGATTTCGACGCAAAACATTAAACCACGGCAATCGCTCCCAAGAGCTCAGTTTTTAAGCTAGACCCAATTTCTTTGGATGAGAGGACTCAAAATAGACTGCGCTATCAAACTGCTATCTCAGATTTTCAAAATTTTGAAAATTTCGAAAATTTTATATAATAAAATTCAAAATTTATATTTCTACATTTTTTCAAAAAATTTTTAACTTTTCGAAAAAAAACGGAATATATGTGATAGAACGCATTATTATGACTAACTCTAGCAAGTTTTAGCTAAATATCTTCAAAAATGGCCAAGTTACACGCATTACTGCAAAAAATTAACAATTATTAATTTTTCAAATCAATTTTTCAGCACGAATTTGACATCGTACGCCAATATAAATAGCACCATCGTGTTCCTGGGCTCAAACTGCATCCAATAGACACCTTTTTTGTTGAAAAATTTTAACTTCAAAATTTGACCTTTTTTGACCTGAAAGTGACCTGACCTAAGTTAAATTTGACTCAAAATGACCTCGAATGACAAAGACGACATCAAATTCGAAATTCTTGGCCTAAATGGACCATAAAACATGTGTCACGTGACCGACGGATGATATAATATTTTCGTGACCTGTGATGACCTGACCTTGACCTGAAAATCAAAGTACAAGTTTGGTACCCTCAGAGTATCTAGAGCATCTGTTCATGAGTGTGTGAACCAAAAATGAGCCTGATCTGACTTGTAAGACGGCGGCCAGAGCCCAAAACGTGAAGAAGCCAAAATACTAATAATTTTTACTTTGACCTGACCTGTGACGTCATCGGTGACCTCGAGGTCAATGAAATTAGGTTTCGCTCGACAATTTTTCCGGGGCTATCAGACGCCGTTTGAATTTTGACGATCGGCCCAGTAGTTTCGGAGTCTCTCTCTCTCTCTCTCTCTCTCTCTCTCTCTCTCTCTCTCTCTCTCTCTCTCTCTCTCTCTCTCTCTCTCTCTCTCTCTCTCTCTCTCTCTCTCTCTCTCTCTCTCTCTCTCTCCCTCTCTCTCTCTCTCTCTCTCTCTCTCTCTCTCTCTCTCTCTCTATCGCCCCCTAGTCTCTACCTCCCACAGTCCCACAGGCACTGCACTCGACACACAGACAAGCCACATCGCAGCTGTGTGTTCCGCATGACCCCTGCACTGGCGACCTCAGCTATAGGGCGGAAAGGAAGTCAGGCTGCGGACCCTGATCGTTCACCAGGATACACCAACTGAATAAACTAAGCCACAGCTGACATTCTGATGCCACTTGCTGCCACCTGATCTCCACTTGTCGCCTAACCCAGACTCATGACACACCAAAATACCTATCACACATAGGTATCACACATAGGTATAGTGTGTGATATACAGTGTATATATAGTGTGATATACTATACAGTGTGATAGCAATTGACATCCTCGTCCATTCCCCAGGTCAATGGTTTCGGTGACTTTCAAATTCAGCAGGCCCTTCCTCGGTCAGGCTTGATGGATCCACCGTCACTTTGCGCGGTACTTTTAAAGGGACTATCCCACCTTTAACATGGGGTTTGAGTTGAGATAGCCAAGTTTGCGGCGAGGTTCAGAAACCACTATCTATCTAGGTTGCAACCCCCGCGGCCTCTTGGTGTTGAAGAAATTCGTTCCCTTCATTTGAAAATGGGCCTTGTACAAGGCCCTATCTTTAACATGGAGCGACCGTTAGTGTGACGTCACCTCGTTTAGTCATTCTGATTTAAATGGGTTTGTCCGTTGAAAAATCGCTTAAAACTTGGTCTGAACTTTGTTGTGGTGCCTACAGAGTAAAAAGAATCAGCTTTATGACAGTAATGTGGCCTGGGGAAGGATGTAATTTTGGGCTGTGACGTCACATATTTGAAAGTTTGTGTTTGGAATATGGGAAGCCTAAGATGTTTAATGAAAAATAAATGCCAGAACCGTGTTCCTGGTCATCCAATCTATAAAGTCGGGCACAATTTAACTGGTTTTAACAACATTTTAGAAGGTGGGATAGTCCCTTTAAATAAATCCTCTCCGTATGCGGGCAGGTGGCGCCTGAGTAGCGCTCAGGCGCTAACTGCCCACTGGTGACCCGCTTACGGCGGGGACTAATTTTGTAGACCTACTGTACCAACAAATCAAAACTTCAACGTCCATAGGTGGACGCAATCCACATCCATCCATGGACACTGGACAGGACTGCAGTCCTGTCCATCGTGTCCTGTCCTGTCGGGTTGTTTCTCCCATCGGTCTGTCTGTTCCGTCTGTCTGTCTGTCTGTCTGTTCCGTCTGTCTGTCCCGTCTGCCTGTCCGTCTATTCTTGTCCCGTCTGTCTGTCTGTCCCGTCTGCCTGTCCTGACTATCTGTTCCGTCTGTCTGTCCCGTCTGTCTGTCCCGTCCGTCTGCCTCTCTGTCTGTTCTGTCCTTCCGTCTGCTTGTCCCGTCTGTCTGTCTGTCTGTCTGTCTGTCTGTCTGTCTGTCTGTCTGTCTGTCTGTCTGTCTGTCTGTCTGTTTGTCTGTCTGTCTGTCTGTCTGTCTGTCTGTCTGTCTGTCTGTCTGTCAGTCTGTCCCGTCTGTCTTTCGGTTTCCTATCTGTCTGTTCCGTCGGTTTGTCCGTCTGTCTGTTCGTCTGTCCGTCCACAGACGAACAGACTAATAAATTATTAAAAGGTAGATTTTGAACAGTAAGATGCCTTGTTCGTGTCTGTGTCCTAGCCTATACAGCATATACCTACACTAGTATACATACACACCTGGAATGCGATGTGGACTTGGCTTCAGGAAATGAGGAAAAGTGGGAAGGCGATAGCGTTATCGGCCATCGCTGAATTGTGTACTGGTCTTTTAACTGGTGAATCTTTTGTAGTTTGTACGATCTCTGTAATATTCAATTATTCATACAGCCTCAGGAAAGATGGGCATTAGGTATATGGCGGCCTATCACAATGCAATTAATGAAAACATGTTATTCTTATTTTCTATCTCCCAATCGTGCAAAAAGAAAACTCATTCGCAGCAAGAGTCTTGTTGCAGAAAAAGGCTAACTTCACAAAATCAGTTATGTCACTCAATCGAGCGTTTGACCTCCTTTACCGCACTTCACAGTTCACACCATGCAGCTGCAGGTGGTGCCAGCACTCCCGAATCCGCTTTTACTAGTTTTGGGGCGCACAGTGGCCCCAGTCAAATCTCGGCACTAACATTGCGAGCCGAACAAACTGTGGCATTCAGCACAGTGGTCCAGTGGCGCACAGTGGCGCGTTATCAGAGGTCCAGAACGGGAACAGGACGTCTGTCCGTCTTCCAAACGTTTCCCGGTTTAGCGGGCACCAAACAGGGCTGACCTGACACAACCGAACAGCACCCGGCATGGACCACCTGCAGCGGGCTTGGCGGAGCGCCCGCCATGAGGCTATCTTATCTGCAAGATATGCTATCTCTCGTCACTTATAATATTAGTTTTTGACGATATGTGAAAGCGGTGCACCGGCTCGGACGTGATATAAGCATCAAC